CCATATATATAGTTATTTTGAGACAGGGTCTCTTGATGAAGCCTTGACTGTCCTGGAGTTCTCTAAATAGACCTGGCTGGCCTCAAACTCATAGAGATCCACCTGCCTCTGTTTGTCAAGTGCTGCGATTAAAGGCTGTGCTCACACCAACCCCGAATTCTTTTGAGAAATAAATGAAAATGGAAGGTTACACAATCTCTTTTATCTAGCGTAAAAAAGTAATTTTGTGTTGAATTACATTTCTTTTATTTAGAGGCACTCACAGATTACTAAGTGATCTAAACTAACTTAAAAATTATTTCAAATTGTCTTTAGGGCATTTGATCCAATCAGTGAGAGACAACTTGGTAAATAGCCTACTCATTTACTAACAATTATCTTGTTTTGAGGCTCTGAAGATTTGGCAAATAGTAATATCTCATTCTAGGGCTGGTGAGATGGCTCAGTCAGCAAAGTCCATCATTAAACCTGAGTTTGAGCCTCAGATCCCACATAGTAGAGATCATCAGACTCCCAAAAAATGTTCTTTGACTTCCACTTATGGGCTATGGCATGTGCACACCCATACACATAACAAATGACTAAATAAATAACTGGGCAGTAGTGATGCACGCCTTTAATTCCAGCATTCAGGAGGCAGAGATAGGTGGACCTCTGTGAGTCTGAGGCCAGCATGGTCTACAGAGGAAATTTCAGGACAGGCTTCAAAGCTACAGAGAAACCTGTCTCTAAAATAAAAAAAAAAAAGTTCTAAAATTAAAAACGTTTTCCTACTAGAATATGCTATAATGCATCTCATCAGACAGATTATGATAAAAGATATGAAACATAGAGTAAATGGAGATCAACGGTTAAAAAAAACAACCTCAAGACTGAGTGACAGTATCTTTAATCTCTAAGAAAGGAACATATTTTTTTAATTATTTCAAAGCAAAGCCACTTACCTATTGATACAACATGTTTTCAGAAATTAAAAGCATTAAGTAGCCAAGATTTCTGAAAGTAAATTCCTGATAATAAAAAAACTTCAGGGGGCCGGGCGGTGGTGGCACACGCCTTTAATCCCAGCACTTGGGAGGCAGAGGCAGGCGGATCTCTGTGGGAGTGTGAGGCCAGCCTGGGCTACAAGAGCTAGCTAGTTCCAGGACAGGCTCCGAAGCTATAGAGAAACCCTATCTCGAAAAGGAAAAAAAAATATTCAGGGGGTGGAGAGATAGCTTAGTAGTTGAGAGGACTGGCTGCTCTTCCAGAGTTCCCTGGTTCAATTCCTAACACCCGCATGGCAGCTAGCACCCACAACTGTCTGTGACTCTAGTTCCAGGGAACCCAACACCCTCACACAGACATACATGTAGACAAATCACCAATGCACATAAAATAAAAATAACTAAATTTAAATTTTCCCCATTTTTGGAGTAGGGATTCAAAATAGAGTCCAGGCTAGCCTCAAACTATCCTCCTATCCTGGCCTCTATCATGGTAAGATTATAGGTGCTCAACATGCTCAGTCAAAATCTTTCTGTTAATGAATTCCCAGGCATGGTATCACACACCTACAATTCCAACACTTGTGAAACTGAAGCCGAAGGATCAAGAATTTAAGGTTGTTTGGGCTATTAAAGGCTAGAGAATGTTTAGCATATATAAGGCCTTGGGTTAAGTCTTGAGCATCACAAAAAGGAATTCTAAAAGTAAGAGCAATGTTTTTTTCCAAATGAGATAACATTCTATAGTGCTTTTCAGCAAGGCAGTATCACCTTAGTTTTCAGACACATGCCTTTAATCCCAGCAGTTTGAAGGAAGAGGCAGGTGGATCTCTGACTCTGAGGCCAGCCCGATCTACACAGCGAGTTCTGGGACAGCTAGGACTACATACTGAGGGCTTGTCTCACCACCCCCAAAATTCCCACAAAATCAAAGTCCTCCATTCAGCAGCATGGTAAGCAAAACTTATGAATAGCCATAGTGGTGACGGATTGCTAGAATTTATTGATGAGTTTCCAGTATCTCTTCTGAGGATTATTATTAGTAGCAATAGTAGTTTACACCTAGAACTCTTGTTTTAAAGATTTATTTATTATGTATAAAGTATTTTGCCTGCATGTATGCCTTCACACCAGAAGAGGGCACCAGATCTCACTATAAATGGTTAAGAGCCACCACTGGTGATGCTGGAAGAGCAGCCAATGCTCTTTTATGACTGGGCTGAGTAGTTAAGAGCACTCGATTCTCTTGCCTAGAAACCAACAGTGTGTGACTTCCAGCACCTACAACTCTAATTCCAAGGGCAATGATTCTCCAAGGGGATCTGAATACACATAGTGCACAGATATGCATGCAGGCAAAAAAAAGCAATGATTTACTCTGGGTTCCACATGAGAAGACACGGCTTCTTTCTCTTTTCTATCTTGTCATCATCCTGTCCTGTTTCCCCTTCCATGGTCCCCTTCATTTACACACACACCATCACCAGTCACTTTTCAGATATGAAAGAAAATGTAGTACTTTAGCCTGACATAACACAGTAAACTCTAGTCCCACCTATTTTCCTGTAAATGCCACAATTACCATCATCCTTATGGCTGACAAAAACTCCACTGTGTATTTATATACACACATACACACAAAACAATGGAGTTTTGTCAGTCACACACATATAACTGACTTTTAAAATTCATTCACTTCCGCCATTCAGCTGTTGATGAGTATCTAGGTATTCCATATTTTGACTATTGTGAATAGTGTCGCAATAAGTATAGACAAAAGTAATTCTGTGGTATGCTTACTCAGAGTCCTTTGGATGTCTAGGTCATAGAGGTACAGGTGGGTTATATAGCACTTCTACTTTAGTTTTTTGAGGAACCTCATTGAGTTCCATAGTGGCTGCATGAGTGTACATTACTATCAGATATGTGTTCTAAAACAAAATGTAATAAAATGTACTAAATGTACTAAAACAAAATGTTCTATAAATAGAGTGGAAAGATGGTAACTGACAAAAATAATTCCTTTAGTTAGGTACATAAATAAAAGTCTAGTGTATCACCACGGTCACTATTTCAAAATAAGTCAATCCCAAAAGATTTTGAAATACATTGTTGGCAGGTATCAGTATGAAAAACTAGCCTAATGATTCAAACTTTTTTTCCTGAGACAGGGTTTCTCTGTGTAACAGCCCTAGCTGTTCTGGAACTAGCTTTTGCAGACTAGGCTGGCCTTGAACTTACAGAGAGAGATCTGCCTGCCTGTGCCTCTGGAGTGCTGGGATTAAAGGCATGTGCAAAAACTGGCTATGAATTCAATTCTTAATTATGACTACAAAGGATATACTACATAACAAGTGACCACTTGAACTGGCTTTTAGTGTGTTTCAAAGTATGCTCATATAAATCTGACTTCAAATTAAAAAGAAACAAACAAAGAAATAACTAATGAACAAAACCCCTCATAACTGAATTGGGACTTCAGATTTGGATTCCTTTCACCATAATTAAGAAATTAAGTCATTTGTTAGCTTAAAAAATTCTTTTTATGGGGCTGGAGAATGACTGAGGTTAAGAGCACTGGCCGCTCTTCAAAAGTCTTGAGTTCAATTCTTAGCAACTGCATGGTGACTCATAACCATCTGTAGTGAGATCTGGTGCTCTCTTCTGGCATGCAGGCAGAACACTGTATATATAAATAAATATTTTTTTAAGTACAGGTGTGGTGCTGCATGCCTTTAAACTCATCAATCAGGAGGCCGAGGCAGGTGGAACTCTGTGAGTTCAATGTCAGCTTGGTCTACACAGCAAGTTCCAGGACAGCCAAGGCTATACAGAAAGATTCTGTATCAAAACTTTAAAAGAAATTTTATTTTAGGTATATGGGTATTTTGCCTACATGTACATCTGTACACCACATGTATGCCAGAATGGGACATTAGGATTTCCTGATACAGAAGTTGCAGATGGTTGTGAGCTACCATATGGGTACTTGGAATTGAACTGGAAGAACAGTCAAATGTTCTGAACAAATGAGCCATCTCTTCAGCCCATCTTTTGCTAGCTTGTAAAATAGTTCAAATTAGCTGGGAGGTGGTGGCACACACCTTTAATTCCAGCACTCGGGAGGTAGAGGCAGGAGGATCTCTGTGAGTTTGAGGTCACCCTGGTCTACAAGAGCTAATTCCAGGACAGGCTCTAAAACTACAGAGAAACTCTGTCTCAGGAAAAAAAAAAACAACAAAAAACCAAAACCCTAAATTAGTGAGCTTTTAAGTATGCTTAAGGAAACAGCACAAGATGTACTCTGTAGATAAAGACCTTAGTCTATAGGCAAAGCAGGCAGGCTTCCATGTAAAAAGGAAAACAATTTTTGTTATATGATACAATCTATAGGTTTTTATAGCAACTTATTTATTATAAAATAATTCCTAAGAGTGTTTAACAATACAAATTTTATTAAAAAAATAACATCAAGACTGTTCAGAAAATCTATATTCAATGTAAACCAAAATAAACAAACACCAAAATAAAAAAATATACATCTCTATATATATGTGGGCAAGAAACAAGTGCATTTTTTGGTCCCAATATTATTGAATATATTATCTTTATCTAAAGGAATTACATTAATGGCTAAGAAGATAACTACTAATTGAATAGCAATGTAAAACTTGCTGTAATATTTGTAAGGGGAGTTTTTGTTCTTTGTCTTTGAATTCCTGACCGCTAAGATGTTCATGATAGTCTCAAGATAGACAGAGCATATATTAATGTATAATGACCTGAACAAGTACCTCACATGCCTTTAAAAGCAGTACTTGGGAGGCTAAGGCAGAAAAATCTGTGAGTTCAAGGTCAGCCTGAACTATATAGTAGAAACCGTGGCTCAAAAAAAAAAAAAAAAACAAAAAACAAAAAAAACCAAAACAACAAAAACCCTCCAAAAGAGAAAGAAAAAAAGAAAAAGAAACTACCAACAGGTAGCTGCATGAAATCTGTAGAAAATTTTAAAGAAATTTCTTGGCATTTTTAACAAACACAAAAGATTTAATCAGAAATTACAAAAGTTGACATACAAAGTAGACATCAATAAATTTGGTGAATGACAAAAACCAAGCTATCAAAATTGAATTTAAAAAAAATTAGGAATTTAAATAGTATCACTGCTGAGAACTCTTGGAATACTGGCTAAAACTTTAAATGACAACATAAAAAAGTTACTTTGGAGCTAGAACTTTACAAAGTTTGTTTTTCCAAGAACATGAAAGCAATTTTCACTCCCTATACAATCAGGTTTTTCATATACCCCAGACTGTATTCATGCTAGTGGAAGATTAAAGGACTGTAGCCAAAGTGATTAAATTTGAACTTGGGTGTTAAAGCACTTACTTGGTGGGCTTTCATTATTATAATCGTTCATAAGCCTAAACTTAAGTACCAAAGCCCCCACTAGGAAGCTGTGCTCATTTTAGTGGACCTTGAGGTTATCGATGGCCAAATCAACATCAGCCTTATGTAAGGCTAGTTAGGCAGGAAGGGACTTTGCCTATGAACTGATAGATTCCCAAGGCCACAAATTGAAACAGGTCTCACAGTCAAACAATTCACATTCTGTGGAAAGAAAAACAGGCATTCGTTGTGTCCATCGAAGGGGGACACTGTCCAGGAGTATACTGGACATTTTTTGAAATTTGTGTTGCTTCTGCACCTGAAAAATATGAAAAATAGAACAATGACAGACAAAGAATGAAGGAAAAAGCTATTTGAGCAGTAAGACTTAGAAGAAATTAAGAGGCAGACAAAATAGAAAAAAGAAATAGAATAGCTACACTGTTTGATATTTAATATTCTGAAGGCAAAGAGAAACACAAATTATCTAAAGTTAAAGACTATAGCAACTAAAGTTCTTTTAGTCAGAGCTAACTGGAGAAGCCAAGTACTGGTTAAGATATGTTAACCTGACACAAAGATAAGGTGGAACAAGAATCTACTGCTGTCTGAAAGCTGAAAAGAGTTGAAAAAAATGTGAACTAGTGTTGTGGATTTTAACTGCCTTTATGGAACATTTAGGAACTTTGAACTTAGGAAATTGGATTTGTAAAGGCAAACACTGCAGAACTTTGAACTTAGGAAATTCCAACTTGTCTTGCACCAGGTTGCACGAGTTCCATAGAGCAGGAATCTATTTCAACAAGCCGCTTTAAAACAAAAACAAAAAAAAAAACTTTAATATTTTTCATTCCTATTAATGATACATTTAAAAATTGCAACAGTACTAAAATCTATCAAAGCAAATTGTGTTGAATGAAGAAAATTAAACTCACTCAGAAGTGGATTCGGAGGTTAAGTTTCTTTCAGTAACTGAAATCAGAGAAGGCTTTATGTTTACAAATGTAATAGACATAGACAGAGTATCAATTTAATTTGTAAAAGCTCACAATGTAATATATTTAAACTACTGGCTCACATATATCATAAATTCAAAGTAATAGACACATGTACATACCATTTTCGATTACTACTTGGCAAGTATGAGTTTTACGTTGATTTAAGTGTTTAGCCATACGGTCTAATCCAGAAGTATCAGCTAGGAAGTCACATTTAAGGCATACTAGAGTGATACCCCTATGAAAAGAGAAAAGACTAATAAGAGAGATCATATGTGGCAATACATACATAAATTCAGTAATTGCTGTTCCATGTAATAACTCTTGACTTTTATTTTATATGCTATCACTGTCATTTTCCAATTTTGTTATAAATATATCTAATATGCTTTTCAAAAGGTTGGGCTGTAGGCAGTTATTTGCCTCCTATGTGCAAAGTTCTAGATTTAATCACTGGCCCTGAAAAGAAAAATGATTCCAAGAATCTGGCCAAAGGCTGGAGAGATGGCTCAAATGGTAAGAGCATTGGCTGCTCTTCCAGAGGTCCCAAATTCAATTTCCAGCAATGACATGGTAGTTCACAACCCTCTATAATGAGATCTGCTGCCCTCTTTTGGTGCACGGGCGCGTACAAGCAGACAGAACACTATATATAATAAATAAAATCTTAAAAAAAATATGGCCGAGACATAGGTAAATTATGGTATCATTTAGTGCTTTATAAATTGTTGCTTTTAATCTGTTGCTAAAAGATTGGCATCCAGAGACTCAAAGCAGTCTTGGATCTACTAGCAACTTGTATAACTTGTTTAAGTCACAGTGATTCCATGCTTTGGCTTATCTGCCAAGCAAGAAGATATTTTCATTCTAAATATATTTTTGGTTGAAGATCTTGGTTTTTTTTCTTGCATGTCTTCATGAGAGATGCATATACACTTGAATAAAACACAGCACTATTTTCACACAAAATTGAGCAAAAGATCTCTAAGTAAGATATATAAATAGTTAAGAGGTCTGAAAAAGATTTTAAAATCATTAGCCATCAAAGAAATAGAAATTATTATCACAATGAGATATCATTTGACTCAAGTCTGAAGGGCTTGTATCAATAGACAAAACATAACACATGCTGGTGAAGATAATGGAGAAAGATCTCTTATACAGTGCTGTTAGAAGTATACGTTTGCAATATGGAAAACAGAATAGAGTCTCTTAAAAACTAAAAATAAAAAAAAAACTAAAAATAAGCCCTAGGATATTCTCTATACATCAAATTAGTAGGCATTGTATACAACAGCAAACAAAACAGTACAGTTTATGAAGCATATAATCTAGTGTTATTTAAATCTGAATAAAGTTAGGAGAGCTGTGAAAGCCTTAAATTTAGTCATTTAGTATAATTATTTGTTTATCAACAAAGCATATACATACTTGGTATTTTAGTTATGTTTTGTTTGCTTTGAGACAGGGTTTCACTAATAGCCCAGTGGATCCTAACTCGGGATGTTCCTGCCTCCCTTCCCCAGTGCTGGAATTATAGGTGTGAGCCACCACAACCGCTTCATCATATAAAACACCTTACCTTTATAGGTCTAAAACCCAGTAGTATACCTTATGCTGATTTTTTTTCTCTGCAGCTCTTGTCTTAACATCCTGTTTTATAGTCAAGACTAGGTGTTAGACACATAAAAAAGTGTCCTTGAACAACCAAAATCATGTTTTCCTCCCCCAAACCACCCTTTATTCCTAGTTTCTCTTATGATGCCATTTCCTTGCTTCTGAGGTTCAAATAAAAATATTTTATTATTTCAAATATATAATAAGAATTTCAATTATCATTTATATTATACTAAACTGGGGATTTTAGACCTATCTCTTCTAAACAAATACCTAAACAAATAACCCCTAAAAGACAGGTGCTATAATGACTACTTTTCTAAAGAGGACAGGGTCAGATTTAATAGCTTATCTAAGGCTAGACTCATATTTGAAAATTAGCCCTTTGATTCAGAAACCCACTTTCTGTTCTTTTAAATAGCCCATAAGCTTTGTTGTAAGATTTTAATTTAATTATCTATTTTTTTAAACAAATGGGCTTCCTTGAAAAAAAATTATTTTTATGGTCATTGATGTTTTGCCTGCCTGCATGTCTGTGGGAAAGAATTAGAGTTACAGACAATTTTGAGCTGACACATGGGTGTCTTCAACCACTGAGCCATCTCACTAGCTCCTCTGGTTCTTTCTTTTGGATTTTTTAAAAAAAAGATTTACTATTTTATTTTCTGTGTATAAGTGTTTTGACTACATGAATGTATGTATACCACATCCATGCCTGGTGCCCAGGGAAGTTAGAATATTAAGATTCCCCTGAAAGTAGAATTATGGATGGTTTTAAGCCACCACGTGAGTGCTGGGAACTGGACCTAGATCTTCTGTAAGAGCAAGAAGTGCTTTTGACCACATCAGCATATCTTTAGTTCCAGCCCAATCAATTACTAAGTAACAGCCATAACTACTCTGTGGTTTATGCAGCTACAACTCACCATGTATACTCCTGCACACTGATCTTCCTTTCAAACCCTTGTTTCGACTCAAAGTATTGGTTTTGATTTTCTCAATGTCTTTTAACGTAAAATTAATTCTTAATTCCTTAGAACTATTTTTTTGGATTTAAAATATTCTGTCTCTAAGCTCAAAATTATTTCACCATATATGTGAACTTAGTGCTCCATTCAAACTGTACTACTAGTTATTCAATGTGACTCAGAAGCACTTGCATACTTTCTCTTTGTTTCTCCACTTCAATTCACGCTTTCTTCTTCATGCATCTTTTAAGTAGAAACCTCTGTCTTTTCTGAAATAAGTGACTCACTGTGTTTATGACAAATTTCCTGATTCTGCTATATTTACTTATGTTTACTTCTTATATCCTCCCAATAAATTGTACATTGTTTTGAGACAGGGCCTCACTATGTAGCTCTGGCTAACCTGGAACTTACAGAGATCCTCCAGCCTCTGCCTCACAAGTGCTGGGACTAAAGGCATGTTCCACCATACCCAGCTTAAATTGTACCTTCTTGAAAGTTGGTACCAAGCCTTCTTCATCATTGATCTGTACATGACTTGACACTTTGTGTTACACGTGACAGATGAACAATAAATAGCTAAAGAAACAATTCAACATAAAATAATATTTAAAAAATCCATTTTAGATTTACAAATATTTCTAGTAATGGCACTATCTAATATTCTTTATTTTTCTAATTCCTTGAATCAGTCATGTTTTAAAAATATTTATTATTATTATTAATTGTTGTTACTTTGAGACAGGTAAGAAGCTGGCTTGGAAGTTGGTATGTAGATCAGTCTGGCCTTGGGATCACTATCCTTCTAATTTTAGTCTAACTAGTGCTGGGGTCATAGGCATTCATTCCCAAGTGTTATAACTACACACACACACACACACACACACACACACACACACACACACACACATTTTAAGATTGTATTTTAATTAAGTGCATGGGGAAGTATGTGTATACATGCACGCATTGCCTGAAGAGACCAGAAGATCTCTGGATCCCCTGGAGTTGGAGTTACAGGCTTTTGATATGATATGCTTGACATGGGTGCTGGGGATTAAACTCTAATCATCTGCAAAAGCAGCAAGTACTCTTAAACCATGACCCACCTCTCCAGGTCTTATTTTTGTTTTTTGAGACAGGGTTTCTCTGTGTATCTTTGGCTGTCCTGGAACTCATTTTGTAGACCAGGCTGGCCTCAAACTCAGAGATTTGCCTGCTTCTGCCTACTGAGTGTTGGGATTAAAGGTGTGAGCCACCCACCATGCCCTGCCTGATATATTTTTAATGGCATCAAACTTTCTTTTGTGATCTACTGACCGAATATTAAGGACGTATATTTTTAATACACATTGTAATTTAATTAAGTGTCTATTATGTGCCAGGCACATTCAATGTCTTGACAACATGAATGGGATAATTAAAAAAAAAGAAAATTGAGTAAAAAACCACCAGAAGAATGTGAAAAGTCCCATAATACTTAGTTGATTCTGAGCAAATGCCTTTATAAGCAGTTACCAAACAGTCTTTTGTATAGTATAAAAAGCTGTATACTGTTTTTTTCATAAAGAGTAAAAGTGAGAGGTTAGAGGGATGGCTCAGTTAAGAGCAGTGGCTGCTCTTCCAGAAGAACTAAATTCAATTCTCAGAACACACATGGTGGTTCACAATCATCTGAAACTCCTGTTTCAGGGGATCCAATGCTCTCTTCTGGCTTCCATGGGCTTCAGGCATGCAGGTGGTGCACAGATATAGATATAGGCAAGACACCCATACATAATAAAATAAAGAATATTTGAAAAAGAATAAAGCTGAGATTTATAAATACTATATATTAATTTCAAATATTATAGCATTTTAATAAACTTATTCCCAATCAAGTATTGCTAAAGAGACTTTTATTTTCATTTTACAGAGTAAATTCATGAAAGTTTCAATTCAATATCTGGTATCATTGAAACAGAGGTTAGTCATATGATAGACTAGCCCTTTCTTTGTTCTAAGAATATAACAAACATAATTCTATCATATCCAGTGACAATTGTATAGATTTAATTAGGTATACCAACATCTGGCTAAAAAATGTAATTTCACCTCTTTAACACAAAGTACAGAAAAAGATCAATTAATTACCTGAGTGCTCTTGAATGCTTCTTAAAAATATAAAACTGTTTACTTGGGTGGTCACTATGAGAGCTGATAGATAAAAGACAAATAAGATTTTATTACTTTTATTACTAAATAAGTCATTAATTTTATTTCCATATTTTCAAGTCTATGCTTAATTTCTTAATTTTGAATAGAAGTTAATGACAGAAATAATGATGTTATATTAATACTGGTATGATCTGAACAACCCATTAATATGTTAAAATCCTAACCTCCCCTTTATCTCAATGTGATGGCATTAGAAGAAACCATTTGGGAAATAATTAGGTCACAAAAGTAGAATCCTTACACATTTGTAAGGATTTGTGTCCCTTATAGGAAGAGACCTAAGATAGCTAGTTTGTTCCCTCCACTGTATAACATAGTAAGAAGGTATTATGAGGGATTGGCCTTGAGCAGAACACTTGTTCTTGTTGGCACCTCTTATTTTTTTTCTCATTTCATTTCTTTCCTTTTTCTTCCCTTTACTTTTTATTCTATTTTTAAGATTTTCTTATGAGTGTTTTGGCTGCATGTATGTCTGTGTACTGCATGGTGCCCATGGAGGTCAGAAGAGAACATCAAATCCCCTAAAACTGGAGCTATCGATAGTTATGGACCACCATGTGGGTGCTGAAACCCTAATTCTAGTCCCTTGGAAAAACAAGCACCAAGTGTTCTTAATCAGTCACTGAGTCATCTCTCCAGCTCAAAACAGGTATTTTTAAAAACATAGGCTGAAATTAAAGATTATGAATTAAGAGCTGATTGAATAAATCATGATTTAATAGTCCAGAAGACAGAAATCAAAAAGGATAAGAGAAATTCAAAGATACCTGTAGTGAGGAGTTGCGGGCAGGCCTGCTTTTCATCCTGCCCGGCTCCCGCACAGTTAGCTTAGCCCCGGAAATAACAACACACAAATTGTATTCATTTAAGCACTGCCTGGCCCATTATCTCTAGAGAGTTAGTTACTGACTAACTCTCATTCAGCATGTCTGACCTGGTGGCTGGCTCCATGGCGTCTGCCCCATTGCCCTCTTCCCAGCATTCTGTTCTGTTTACTCCGCCTACCTAATTTTCTGTCCTATCAGAGAGCCAAGGCAGTCTCTTTATTAACCAATGAAAATAACACAATAGACAGATAATCCTCCTCCATCAGATACCAATGCTAACTATGACTTGAAATGCAAAGTGTCGAAGAAAAAAGTGGCATTCAAAACAGACAACACTGAATATAAAGCTGAGAAAATGGATTGGTGTTGTAGAATTGTTGGATTAGAAAGAGGGTACACATGCCTTTAATCTCAGCACTCAAGAGACAGAGGCATGTGGATCTTTGTGAGTTTAAGGTCAGCCTGGTCCAGACAGATAGTTGAGACAGATAGTTAATCCTGTCTCAAAAAGAAAAAAAAAAAGAAATATCAAGGCCCCAAGAGCTATGTCAATAAGTAATTGAAATAAATATTTTATATAATGAGGCAATGCCAAGGTAGCAAGAAACAGAATTTAGTAAGTCAAAAGCATATATACTAAAGCTAAAGTACCATGACCATGAAAAAAGTTGAAGTCATCAAAATATGTAGTCAAGTCCTTCCAGTGATCTTGCACAGTAATCTTCAAGAAAAGCTAAGCATTGTAACAAAAATATTTAATTCTAGCACTCAGAAGAGATAGGTAGGCAGTTCTCTTGTAAGTTTGAGCTAGCCTGGACTACATAGAGAATTTTAGGTCAGGTCATCCAGGGCTATCTATACAATAAGAGAGACCCTATCTCAAGTAAAATAATCTTCAAGAAAATTACTTTTAGAGATTGTACTTTATTTAGCTGAAAAGAGGCAGAACTTTAATAGGAATAGTTGACATATAATTATGTCTGAGTGCTTTTTGGCTTAAAAATCCATCCTGAAACTTCGGTGCACAGGGCGTGGGAAGGTGGAAGTAAGGGGAGATGGTTGGAGAGAAGGGAGAGGGGGAGGATTGGGGATGGCTTGGGGGAGTGGGATAGGGGAGGGAGGAAGGATGGATGTGGGAGCGGGGAGGTGTGCATCTCAACTAAGGGAGCCATTTTGGGGTTTGCAAGAGACTTGATTCTGGAGGGGTTCCCAGGCCCAAGGAGAGGTTCCCAGATTGTTCCCTGGGCAGCGGAGGAGAGGGTGCCTGAACTGGCCTTAGCCCATGACCATACTGATGAATGTTTTGCATCCATGGCGATGGATGGAGATAGAGACAGAGACACACATTTGAACACTGGATTTGACTCCCTGGGTCCGGATGGGAAGCGGATGGAAGGCAGGATCGGAGGGAACCTTCATCCGAGGACAGATGGAGATAGAGACGGAGACCCACATTGGAGCACTGGACTGAGCCCCCAAGGTCCAAATAAGGAGCAGAAGGAGGGAGAACAAGAAAAAGGAAGTCAGAACTGCGAGGGGTGCGTTTACCCACTGATACAAGAGGACTGATCTAATGAGAGCTCACCAAGGCCAGCTGGACTGGGACTGAACGAGAATGTGATCAAACCGGATTCTCTGAATGTGGCTGACATGGGGACTGACTGAGAAGCCATTGACAATGGCACTGGGTCTTGTTTCGTCTGCGTGTACTGGCTTTTTGGGATCCTAGTCTGTTTGGATGCTCACCTTCCTAGACCTGGAGGGAGGGAGGAGGAACTTGGACTTCCCACGGGGCAGGAGGCCCTGACTGCTCTTGGAACTGGAGAGGGAGGAGGGGAGGAAGTGGGGGGAGTGGGAGGGTATTGGGAGGAGGGGAGGAAGTGGAAATTTTTTATAAATAAATGAATAAATAATAATAATAATAATAAAAAGACAGACCTTCTGAATGTGAGTGACAGTTCTATGGCTGGGGGAGATTGTGAGGTCACTGGTGGCTGCACCAGGATTTATCCCTACTGCTTGTACTGGCTTTTTGGGAACTCATTCTCTTTGAATGAATGCCTTGTTAAGCCTAGATATAGCAGGGAGGCCTTGGACCTTCCCCACAGCAATGTGTCTTTCCCTCTCTGAGGAGTGGATGGGGGTGGGGTGGGGGATAAATGGAGGGAATGGGAGGAGGGGAGATAGTAGGAACTGGGATTGGTATGTAAAATGAGAAAAGATAGTTTGTATTCTTTAAAAAAAAATTATATAATCCATCCTGAAGGAACAAAGTAAGCCTCTACTTAATGAGGTCCAAATGAAAGGAAAGTGGGCCCTGAAGTTTTCCCCTCACATAGAACCCTTAATCAGAGCAAAATAATGGAAGTTGAATCAATGTATAAAAAAGGATCCCAATGGTTGCCTCATGATCTTTTCATTGAATGAGGAAAAAGATAGATGGCTGTGCAAAGAGAGGAAAAGGTCAGAGAGAAGGAGGGTAATGAAAATAAGTGTTCTTTAGTATCATTAAAATCCCTGGAGCCTGGGGATTAGAGATGGCTCAGCAATTAAGAGCACTCGTTGCTTTTTCAGAGGACTTGGATTCATTCCCAGTACCCATACAGCTCATAATCTTTTCTGACTCTAGTCATAGGGAATCTGACACCCTCTTCTGGTCTCTATGGGCACTGTTGTAACTATTCAGTGCATATGTATACACAAACAGGCAAAATATTAACTTACATAATATATTTTAAAAAGAATTTATTTAATAAAGCCAGTCTAATTTTACAAATTTAACTGGTTTTATATCTTCTGTCCCATTGGTTTTATAAATTATTAATTTGAAAACATATAAGGAACATCCTAGACATTCTGTATTTCTAGAATTGTACTTCCACGATGAGACATAGATACTTTTAATAGGACAATTTTGTCTTTAAAACAAATAAACAACAAACAAACAAAAAAGTCCTCAAAGGGTAGCAATTTTCGATACAGGGTCTCATGAAGCCCAAGCTACCTTTAAACTTAATATAAAGCTTGGGATAAACTTGAATTCCTGATCCTTCTACTTTCACCTCCCAAATGATGGGATCACGGGCATTTGCCATCAAACTTGGATGGCAAAATTTTTTGTTCTAGGAATTGAATCTAGAGCTTTTTACACACACTAGGCAATGGTATACCAAGAAGTTACACCCCAGCTCTGAAAGGTAACATGCTCAACTTACCTCATATGATTTGTAAAGGCTTTGTTACAGTTAGTAGTGTACTTGCAAAAATCACAGTTTATATATGTAGAAAAGTGACTTGAAAAATCTTTTATTTTGGAATGGCACTCAATACACGTGTGAATTCCCTGGTGATATCTTATGGAGACAAAAAAAAGTCATACCACAAATAAGGAAACTCTTATTAACAATTAATTGAAACAAAGATGTTTAAGATTATCAAACAAATATATCTAAAATTTAAAATTTCTTTGAAGTAATAAGCAAAAATGAACGCAAAAAGTTTAACACATATAAATATTTCCCTAGAGTAAAAAGGCTTAGTTGAACTGGGTAGTGGTGGCACAGGCCTTTAATTCCAGAACTTGGGAGACAGAGGCAGGCAGATCTCAGTCAGTTCAAGGCCAACCTGGTCTATGAATTGAGTTCCAGGACAGCCAGGATGGTTACACAGAGAAACCCTGTCTTGAAAAGCAAAAACAAAACAAAACAAAACAAAACACAACACCAAAAAACAAAAAAGGACTTATTTAAGCAATTTAATGTCATTAGGTAAAAATATAAAGTTTAAGACTAATGAAAAAAATTAAAATCTTAACACAGCTAAATTAAATTCTACTTGATAGTTATAAAAATGTACCATTTTCTTATCTGCTTAGTCTTTATATTAAAGTGTATAAGAAGGTTATGTGACATGGTAAGTCATTAAAACAAAACATATAACTTCTGAGATTAAGTTAGTATCATATAATGGATAAAGATAGTACCTCAAATTCTTCAGAGCAATACTGAATTTGTTTTTCCTCGTGCGCTGTTTCTTTTGCTTGTAGGAGGACTTGGCTTTGGATTTAGTTGCACCTGTACCTGGTTTACTTGGATTGGGCTTACATGTCGCAGTTAAGACTGTCTGACACTTAGTTATCTTACTTTTATTTGCAAATACTTTTGTGTTGATTTTAGTAGTTGTACTTTTAGACTCTGGAGCTGATACTTGAAGAGACGTGCTTGGAATAGAACTAGAAGGTGGACTTGATGATCTTGATTGAGCAGATCCAAACGAAGCTCGAATAGTAACCTATGAAAACAAAGTCAGGATGTATTTTTAGATTATTGAAGTGGCATTAAAAACACCGCTTGTGGGTTGGAGAGACGACTCAGAGGTTAAGAGCACTGGCAACTCTATTCTTCCAAAGGACTGGGGTTCAATTTTTAGCAACCATATGGTGCCTCACAACCATCTGTAATTAGATCTGGTGCCCTCTTCTGGCCTGTAGGCAGAATACTGTATACATAAGTAAGTAAATAAAATAAATCTTTAAAAACAAAACAAAAAACACTGTAATGGTTCCTGTAATGGTTCACATTAAGTTATCTAATATGTGTAAATATGTTCATGTGTGTGGGTTCACACATTTGTGTATATGGAGGCCTGAAGTTTGATACTAGGTGTCTTCCTCAATTGCTTTCCACCTTATATACTGAAGCAGGGCCTCTTTGCCTGAACACAGAACTAGTTGGTTTGGCTAGTCTAGCTAGCTGGCTTACACCCAGAATCCCCTGTACTCCCTCCCATCCCCCTCATTCTGGGACTATGGTTGGGCCACCACACCTACCCACATTTATTTTAGAGATTGCTAGGGCTCTAAAACTTCAGTTTTCCCATTTGTACAAGTATTTTACCCACTGAGCCATCTCTCCAGGCTCTCACATTTGTGATCAAATGCTTTGTTTTAGAAGAGTGTCAAAACACTTATAGGCAGGAACGACAGTTCTATCAACAACATTTTAACAGTGATGTAAAAACTGACATTCACATTTAGAAGGATGAATTAAAACCCTCACTTCATATTAAACATAAAAAAATGAACTCAACATATATCAAGGACCAAACCTCAAGAGTTAAAATTATAAAACTCTCAGAAGAAAATACAGAAATAAATTCTTATATGATTGGGGTCAGTCAATGACTTCTACTTTTTTCTTTTTTTGAGAGAGAGGGTCTCTCTATATAGCATTGACTGTCCTGGAACTTATTATATAGACTAGGCTGGAAACTCATAAAGATCCACCTGCCTCTGCCTCCCATGTGTGATGGAATTAAAGGCACCACCATGCCTGAAGGCAATGATGTTTTTAAAAATTTATTTTTATTTTACATGCATTGACGTTTTGCCTGCATATATGTCTGTGTGAGGGTGTCAGATTTTGGAGTTACAGACAGTTGTTAGCTGCCATGTGGGTGCTGTGAATTGAACCTGGGTCCTCTGGAAGAACAGTCAGTGTTCTTAACTGCTGAGTCATCTCTCCAGCCCTGGCAATGACTTTTTAAATATGCCATTCCAAGCATAAGCAAATAACAAAATAGAAAAGCAGGTATCTCTTCAAAGAAGATATAAACACTAAATTTAAGTCTTAGCAAAGGAGTGCATAATTCTACTCCTAGGTATATTCCTAAGAAAATGAAAACATATGCTTGCACAAAAACTTTCACAAAAATATTTATAGCATCATTGCCACAGTCTAAAAAACTCAAATACCACCAACTGATAAATGAAAATATACACACAATGGAATATGTTCAATCATGGAAGGAATGAAGCACTGGAAGATGCTACAAGACAGATGAGCCTAGGAAACATTATACAAATAAAATAAATCCTCAAAGACTGTATATTGTATGATTTCCTTTACATGGAATTCTCAAAATGAGAGAATTCATAGGGAAGAGATTCTATCTTGCTTTGAGTGGTGCTGGAACACAGTCACTGTTAATGGATGTAGAGTTCCTTTTACTGATAATGCAAATGGTCTAAAATTGCATAGGATGTTTTCACAACTCTGAATGTTAATAAAACCACTGAACTGAGCACTTGAAATGGAAAAATGTCTGGTACATGAATTATATTCTAAACAAGCTATTACAAAAAAAATCAGTATGACTCAAAAAGTCAAATATTATTTAAAGGAGTAAACCATAAGATGCAATTAGATATATTTTCCATTTACTCTACTTTTAGTAGTTTATTTTGTTTGTTTGTGTGTGTGTGTGTGTGTGTGTGTGTGTGTGTGTGTGTGTACTTAGTGCATATGTAGAGGTCAAAGAAAAACTCTGGAATTGATTATTTTTATCTCTATATGGGTTCTAGGAATTGAAATCAGATAATCAGACTTGCATTGTTGGGAGGCAAGCACCTTTATTCGCTGGCCCAGTTTCCTATTTATTTTAAATGGTCTTACCAGTTAAATGGAATTTAGTTAGATGTTTATTTGCTATTAAAATATTATAATTTTATATTGGTAACATTTATATGTAAAGAAATATTAATGGATAATTAGATAAAGAATGCACTTTTCAACCCTTCCTGTAATTTTAAGTAAATAATTGGTTCCATCTAATTAATTCTCTTTATCTCTAATACAGGGATAATACTAACTTACTCTCCTGTCTTGTTGGATTGCTGACTGGATAAATTAGAATGTATAAAAAAAGACATAAATATTATTATTAGTACCACTGTATTACAATATGGAAAATATGAGAGCTTTGCAATGTTTACATTAGTATTTTCTATGCTAGTCTCAACATGGGATAAATGGGTTGCAAGAAGTTACACTGTAATGCTTTTCTTACTCTAGATGCTCACAGCAATTGCTCTGTATTAGTTTAGGTAATTAGCAGATACACTCACAAAAGTATGTGCTAAAAGCCAAACACGAAAGCTTGGGAATAATTTAATTTTGGATTATCCATCCATGTGCCAGACCAAATATTTGGGAGCAAACTTTACATAAAGAAACCAGAGAGAAAAATATGGCAAACATAGAGAACTAAATTTATAGTCAAATGTATGTTTATTCACTGAAAACAGTAATGCTGGGGCTAGTGATGGCTCAATGGTTAAGAGCATTGACTGCACTGCCAGAGGTCCTGAGTTCAATTCCAGCAACCACAAAGTGGCTCTTATTAACCACCTGTAATGAGATATGGTGCCCTCTTCTGGCCTGCAGGCATATATGCAGACTGAACACTATACACAATAAACAACCCTTAAAAAACCAGTAAAGTTATTCAGGAAAAGAACCTGTTTCTCTGTAAATAGATTCAGTAACATCAACTTCAACACCGTCATAATATTCAAGACACTATGATAGATGCTTGGACTACAAAGATAAATTAAATTTGACTCCCAGTCTCAAATGCTTTGTAGTCTAGCAGTAGAGACATGTAATAAATAAATAAAAAAGTCTACAGAACAGTAAAATCACTTAGTGACTCAGTCTACAACAACTCTACAAAGGAATGTCACTTCAACAAGGCACCTGTCAATCAACTCGAACAACAGTCAAAAGTTTTACTTTTCAAGCATAATAATGAAACCTGGCTGAAGAGATAAGAGAACTCAGCAGTTCTTAACACTTGATACTCTTGCAGAGGACATGAGTTTGGTTTACAGAACCCATAATCCATGTAGGGTAGCACCTCACAACTACTTGCAACCCCAGGGTATCGGATGCCCTTCTACAAGTACTAATACACACACACTAAAAATGTAACAAAACTTTAACTTTAGTTCTTAATAAAAGTAGACAATATTTTTATATTATATTCAATACCCAGACCGGAGTTTTTTTTTTCTTTTCCTTCCTTTCTTCCCTCCCCCCACTTTTTTTGAGACAGAGTCATGCTGTTCTGGAACTCACTATGTAGATAGATCCACCTGCTTCTTCTGCATACTGTGTGGTAGGATTAAAAGCATGCACCACCATATCCAGTCAGGGACTTTATCTATTTATTTACTTGTTTATTTTTTGAGACAGGGTTTCTCTGAAGTTTTGGAGCCTGTCAGGAAACTCACTCTGTAGACCATGCTGACCTTGAACTCACAGAGATCCGCCTGTCTCTGCCTCCAAGAGTGTTGGGATTAAAGGTGTAAGCTACCACTGCCTGGCCAGTCAAGGATTTTACTAGACAAAATGCTAGGATACAACATATTTAATACTCACTTTTGTTCCAACAGGCAATCCTTCTAGTCCTTTAGGCTTTATAAATGTGCGATGTTCTAACTTATGATCTGTTTTCTCCTTGCAGGTCAAAAATTGTAGTCTGCATTTTGGGCAACGATAAATTCCTTTATTCTGTTTATATAAAAATTATTAGAAATGATATTAAAATTCGTTTCTTTTGAGAAAAGTCTCACTATACACCCCAATTGCCGTTGAAAGCTCTGTGTTATACTTTGTTGGTTTCTTGTGATCCTCCTGTTTCAGCACCCAAGTGTTAGAATTACAGGTATGTACCACCACATTCTAAAGACACAACTATCAACCAATAACCAAACAAAAAGCAAAAAATGAAAAGAAAATCTAACCAGAAACTGTGAAGAAAGTTTTGTAATATAGTTCGAAATGGCAGTTCTATCCAACAGAACATTCTATAGTTTCATTAGTCACTGTGAAGTCTACCACTTACAAATGAACAGTGAGTGCTTTAAATGTGAGAAGTGCAACTGAGAAGGTAATTTTTTAAGTTTGTTTTTTTTTAGGTCTACATTTAAACAGATACACATTGTTAGATATTATGAGGTTAAGTTGTATGCATATGGAAATATAAAAGAACTTTCCAACTTACTGTTTGATAATCCTTTGACTGAATTCAAACACACATATTACTACTTTGCTGATACAAAACAAAACTTCAGGAAAATGAAGTCACTTGTTTATAGCCAAGTACTGTTCTCTATATCTGTTAATTGCAGGATTTATGTATATAACCTCATTGATTACACATCTTATATTTATATCTAAATTTTAAGCAAAATAAATAAAATAGTTCTGTTTTTTATAAATCTGTATGTCCACAAGCACATAAGTATTTCTTTATAAATAAATAATCATGGAGAAAAACCAAAATACCATATACAAAAGTATCTAGCACAGTTACCGGTGCACAGTAAATGATGTTCATGATGGCCGGGTGGTGGTGGCACACGCCTTCAATCCCAGCACTCGGGAGGCTAGAGGCAGGAGGATCACTGTGGGTTCGAGACCAGCCTGGTATACAAGAGCTAATTCCAGGACAAGCTATAAATCTACAGAGAAACCCTGTCTCGAAAAACCAAAATAAAAAAGTTGTTCATGATGTTCAGACTGACATACAACATAAATGTAAAGTGTCTGCTTTATTATGTTAGATAATATCCAGTGATGTCATAAATACTCGGAATCTGAATCTTTCATATATCACCGATTCAAATTTATATATTCTCTAGGAAATAGTAACTTCTCTTTCATGTACAGAATGAAACACAATACTACATGCTTTCATGTAAAAGGGTCGCCCACTGTTATCCAATACCACATGAGCAATCCTTGGATCATATACATACAGGTAACACTATATGGCTAGAGCAGGTTATATATTTCGGGGTGTGCACGTGTTATGTTTGTGGATGTAACACCAAGAAAAGAAAAATAGGATATGAATGAGAGAGAACAAGAGGAGAGGGTTATGGGAAGGGTTGGAGAGAGGAAAAGGAAGTAGAAATAATAATTCAAAAAATTATTATACACTTAAAAATTTATTCCTTCCATATTTTTCTAATGTCCCAGTATATGAAAATTCAATTCTTACAGTAGCTCATAACAAACAACAGACTTGGTCACTCTTAACTCCTCTTTCTTACACATTAATACAACCTGTAAGTTATTAGCAATATGTTTAAAACACTTATCTTTCTGTTTTTTCATTACTTCCAACCACCGCTACCATTCATACTAGTAAAAGCCACGTGTGAACTTTGAAACAGGTTCCTATCTTCTCCCTGTTTCTATCTTTTAACCCCTACTATGGTCATTCCTTTCCACAACTGCTGGGGTGACCTTAAAAACATATATTTCTCAGTTACTTAAATCCTTTGGTGGCAGATAACGGCAGATCTCTGTGAGTTTGAGGTCAGCCTGGTCTACAAGAGCTAACAGTTCGAGGAGGGACAGGCTCCAAAGCAACACAGAGAAACCCTGTCTTGAAAAAAAAAAACAAAAACAAAACAAAAAAATCCTTTGGTGACTTTCCAATTACTCTCAGGAATCCTGACTCTGTCACACAAGGTCTTACTTCATCTGGCTTGACTTCCATCACCACATCTTCAGCTACTACTTTCCTACTGCTGTCTTTTCCCTTCCTTCCCTTTCCTTCCCCCTCCCTTCCCTGGTTTTTTTGAGACTTGGTTTTTCTGTGTAGCCTTGGCTGTCCTGGAACTTTTTCTGTAGACCCGACTGGCCTCAAACTCAGCGATCTGCCAGTCTCTGCCTCTCAAGCGCTGGAATTAAAGGTGTGCACCACACCCGGCTTTACTGCTTCCTCTAGCCCTATTAACACTGTTGCTATTCCTCCAACATCCCAAATACATGCTCACCTCAATATTCTCTTTCTGATGGCCATATTATATATTGCCTTATCCTCTCGGGAGAGGCCTTCTTTGATCAAATCATGTAAAAAATAGCACATATCACTTCAAAGATCTAGAAGTCCTAATTCACCTGCACTTTCTTCCCACTGTATTTACTACTAACTGATGTATGTAAATTACACACACACACACCTTTCTACATTATAGTACAAATTTCAGAGGGCAAAGGCTGCTTTTCTCATTTTAATAATCCTAATATTTATATGCTATAAATTATTTGTTAAATAAATACAAGTAAGGCAGCAAAAGAATAGAAGAATACCCATAAACACAGAGCACAATTCATTGAGTTTAAAATGTCTGCCATTCCATTCAGAGTAGATTTTCCTAGAGGTCTGTGTTAGAGATATTAATCTAATATTAAAATTAACTAAACTTAAATTTTCAATGTCTTTCATGTATATGTATGTTGCAAGGTATTAAGGTTGATGAGGATACAGGAATACCATAATGTCCAACCAAAGAGACAGTGATATATTACAAAGGTTAAAAAAAGAAACACAAAAGGTTCCCTGTACTGAAATTTTTGACAAGTCACTATACTGTTTGATGAATTTAAAGGATTTTCAAAAGTAATATTAACTTTCTGTAATTTCTGTCTTCCTACCTATTATTGTGGATTTTGAGTCAGTGATAGGTTTAGGCTCTGAATCAACTTTTAGCTGTCATTTGTTGGAGAATGTGACATTGGTCAAATTATTTCCTATAAAGCTTTGTTTTCCCTCTTCCAAAAAAAATTATTTATTTATTTATTTTATGTATGAATATTCTATCTGCATGAATACCTTGATGCCAGAAGAGGGCATCAGATCCCACTGTAGGTGGTTGTGAGCCACCCCATGTGGTTGTTGGGAATTGAACTTCAAGACCTCTGGAAGAGCAGCCAGTACTCTTAACCACTGAGCCAGCTCTCTAGCCCCTGTTTTCCCTTCTATAAAATGGAAATGATCACATACTTCCTTCATAGGATAGCTGTTAAAAAAATGGACATAAAAGCATCACTGTTATTATAAAATAAGTGATTAGTAGTTGGCAATTTTACAACTAAGAACTTAAGGAAAAATATTTAGCATATCTAAAAACTTTAGTATTTCTTAAACATTATACAAACTAATATTCCTAAAATTATATTCCTTTTAGGAAAATGTTACAACAAAAATCTTAAAAAATAATAACAAACTACAAATTCAATAATTGTTAGTGTGTTAATAATGTAATTTCCATTACAAGACTAAAACTGTTCAGCTCTGGCTTTCTGGTCTTTGTGAATAATTATTCAAACTGAAAATAGCTGAGAAATATACGATAAGTCTTATGAAGATTTTTTTTCTTTCCTGCTGAATGTTTATCTCTTAGGTATACTAAACTTGAATGAACTGAATGCTCATCTTTCTTATATGAATTCTTATATGGAATTCCTGAGCTCCAATGTAACTTCATTGGGAGACAGAAATGTTTGGAAGGTAATTACATCATGGAGGCAGTGGGATAGTGTCCTTATAAAAGAGCTTCTTTGCCCCTTCTGCCATGTGAGGACACAGTGAGAACACAGACATCTGTGAATTAGGAAGCAGGCCCTTGCCAGACCCAATTCTTTTGGTGCCTTGATTTTCGACTTTCCCTTCTTTAGAACTGTGAGAAATAAATATTTATTATTATTTGATCCAGTTCATTATAGTGTCTTACAGATGCCTGAATAGACAAAAAGAGTACTCATGTGATATCAATGATTTCCATAAGTATCTCAGGTTTGCTGATTCAGCCAGTTTTGTTTATTACAGTGAAAGAATAAAGAAAGAGATTAAGGATAAAGAATACCAGGCACCAACCTCAAAGCACTCTCTTAGACCAGAGTTGTATTAATCCACCCAGAACTAACTATTAAAAAGAGAAATGAAACTGTCTAGTGGAATAAAGGAACTGAGAATAAGGGGATAGGTGAGAAAGAGGAAGGTAGTAGAGAAGGAGGAGATATATAAAGACTAGGTGAGGCTGGGCGGTGGTGGAGGTGGTGGAGCATGCCTTTAATCCCAGCACTCGGGAGACAGGCGGGTTGATTTCTGAGTTCAAGATCAGTCTGGTCTACAAGTGCTAGTACCAGGACAGGCTCCAAAGCTACAGAGAAACCCTGTCTCTAAACAAACAAACAAACAAACAAACAATAAAAAAAGAAAGAAAGAAAGAAAGAAAGAAAGAAAGAAAGAAAGAAAGAAAAGACTAGTTGAATACAAAATCAGAACTCAAGAGAGGAACAAGCACTGCTACTGGTATCTTAGGAATTATAAAGTACAACTAGCAAAAGTCATGTAGAAAGCAAGTTACAACCTAAGTATAGTTCCCTGACACAGTTTATAAATCTGGTAATAAATGTCACAACTGTTTCCTCTTTTGGCAGCTACCACTAGAAACCACCCTGGGTCACTGATGACAAATACTTGTCTTCTCATAACAGCAACAAAAAAAATGGACTAGTAAGTAGAAAGATTTGAAGAAAAGCAAAACCATAAGGTTTTAAGTCTTTAAGCTTTCTCAGTTAAAATCCTTTCCTCTTATCTTCAAAATTACCCACAAGACACAATGCCTAGCAATCTTGGATGCCAAAATATGCAACTTATATATTCCATTCATTTATTCCTTTTCCACTCTATTCTGTGGTTCCTATTTCTAGTGATAGCTTTAAGAAAGTTCAGATTATGGACCTCAGAATTACCCATCTAAGTCTGTATATCTTTTCCATAAAACAATATGAAGAAAGTTTAAATCTCACCTGATGTTTCATGTAATGATTCATATAAGGGGTTGCCATTCTACTAACTTTGAGACAAAATGGACACAGCAAGTTCTTAGTGTTCTCATGGGATGATCGAAAGTGAGTTTCTACATCAGAAAATATTGATGATCTAAATTGGCAAACCTAGAAATAGAAAAAGTTTAAGTTCAACATAAAATTTTATAATTTGCATATAATTTACATCACATTAGCAGTGATATATCATTGGTTTAGAAAAACATTATGCCCTAGGGATAATTCAAAACATAGATTTTATTTCTCTTTGCAGATCGATCATCCCTTATGTTGACTTAAATTTTCAAGCACTGATCCCACTTACTCTTTTTTCAGGATAAGCCAGAGACAGTTTATTTTTATGTTGCTGTCTTAATACTGGGAGTCACTTCAAACTCTGAAAAACCACTGGTCAAAAGATATTTATTTAGTTCTCAAATATTTCCTATTTTCCAAAACATCTGTATTCTTCCCTGTATGATAAGCCCATCTTTGTCATTCTCCAGTTGGACAATTTTTATTACAGTAGTCAGAGAACTATGGCCAAGAAGGCCAAATCTAGCCCATATATAAAATATGAACAAGTCCCAACAAATGGAAATCTCACTAAACACAGAGGCTTTTCAATTTTAGTATACTAATTAATTTTATTTAAGTGCTTCAGAAATAAAAAGAAACAATACTATTTAATGGCATGCAGATATTGAACAAACACTGAAGTATACAATGTGTATACCTGGCAAATATATGGCATTTCACCAGGCTTATGAGTGTCCTTCATATGTTGTAAAAGCATATGCTCTGTTTCAAATGACAATTCACAGATTTTGCAAATAGCTGAAAGAGAAAAAAACATACCATTTTCACACGCATATGAAAACAAGATTCATTTTTGTATAAATCACAACATCAAGTAATACAGTAACACTACTACTACGAGTAGTAAAAGAAACAGGTGGTCCTTAAGGTTCCCTAATAAACAGATAATCAAATTCATTTAAACTGTCACTTACTAGAAAAATCATGAGGAGTGTGTGTACTCTCAATGTGGCACTGTAGCTGAAAGGGGTTGGGATACTGCCGATAGCAGTGCTGGCATGTGGTATGGCTTTCCCAGGACTCACTGTTCTGTTTTTCATGCTCCAAGTGATGTTTCATGTGGTTCATGAACCTATAAATTAGAGTAAAACAGGTGCAAAAATGCAGATTTATAACAACAAAGGTTCACAAATAATTATCTGATCCTAAAATTTTAAAATGTAGTTGCATGACTGCAATTCAAAATATTATCTTTATGGCCTTAAGAGTCAGCTTTTTGGGAAGTGACTGGATCCTGAAGGCGCTGATCTAATCAATGTATTAATTCATTGGTGTAGTCATAATAAAACAGCATCCCTGGAAGGCAGGGCCTAGCTGAGGGAAATAGATCATTGGATGCAGGCCCTAAAATGAGGTACTTTGCTCCTTTCACTTCCTATGCCTCTTAATTACCAGAAGGTGAACGATTTTCCTTCATTATATCCTTCCTCCATGTTGATTCTATCTTGCAACAGGCATCAGCTAATCAAGGACTGGAACCTCTGAAACCATGAAGAAAACAATCCTTTCTTCCTTAAACTGTTTCTCTTAGATATATGTCACAATCTCAAAAATTATAATGCAGAAAGTATTATTATTTTTCTTGCAGTGTGTTAATCTTTGTAACACCTTCCATTTGCTCAGTTTTACATTCTCATAAATGGGCTTCTTATGAGAAGGAACTTTGACTTTCCATGACAAAGCTTATGATATAAATGGGCAAACCTATTTTAAAGCCTTTATCAAACTGAATTTCAAAGTAAAATAACTCAATCAATCAAAACACTTTGGTGTGTGTGGTGGCTCACACCTGTAATTGTAGAGCTAGGGAGGCTATGGTAGGAGAATACAATCAAAAGCAATTTTAAGATTAGGTTGACTATAACAAATCACTGTGAGTCTCAATAAAAGCCATCCTATAATTGAGTAATAATTTTATCAGTTTAGAGAACCAATCATCTCAGAGGCTTTGATCTTTCATCTCCTATTCACACCACTACCAAAACACTCTTTATTTCTGCTTGTTGAGACAAAGTCTCATGTGGCCCAAGCCGGCCTTGAACTCATTACATAGCTGATGCCTGTGTTGAAATTCTGATCCTCCTGCCTCTACCTTCTGAGTGCTGGAATTACAGGCTTAAACTGGTTATAATTACATTCTAAAATATCTACTTTTTTAGAGACAGGGTTTCTAGGTAGCCCAGGATGGTTTCACAATCATACAGTCTCAGCATCCTAGGAACTGGGATTATTGGCATTGCACAGTTCAGTTTCTGTGCTCTCTTCTCAAGTTACTGAACCTCCCAATGCCTTAGGCTCTTTATCTATGAAATTAGACTGATGATACTCATGTCTCAGGATTATGATGAATATCTAAAGCCTATCAAAGAAATCCAGAAATCACCACATAACACATGATAAGTCGTATGCAGTCTCACATTCTCATTTCAGGTCAGGAAAGGCAGAGACTGCAGATCTCCAGAATAAGGCGACTAGATACACTAGATTAAATGATGGGCACTGTGTTCAACTGAGAGACTCTCCCTCAATGAATAAGGTGAGAGCAACTTAGGAAGGATTTTCTGTCAGTGTCTGTCCAGACAGACAGACAGACACACACACACCACAAACATGTGAATTAGAGAGTAAGCAAGTAAATGAAGACAGAACAAACATCAGTCAGACACAGACCCATACACATGTAGTCCTATGAGCAATGACAGAAGGTTATGTGAGCAGTGCACTGGAGAAACCACAAACTTCCCAGGGAATGCTGAGATCGTGTGTATCTAGAAGGAAAGTCAGTTTTTTATTCCTAGATTCCTCTGCAAAAAAAAAAAAAATCAATTCAAGGTGTAATGTAGGTTTGAGTGTTAAGTCTGAAGCAATGATTTTTTTTTTTTTTGGAATCAAACCTGATAGAATGTATGTATTATTTTAGGGGAGCGAAAGCAAATGTAAGGTTTTTTTCAAAAGAGCAGTTTCCATGGAGGGAAAAAATTGTACTCTAGGAAAAGTGAAAAAGTACTCAAAATATGTATATAAAGAATTAGAAATAAATATAGAAACAGATACTTCAATGGAATAGTAAACAATATTTAATAGGCATTTCACAAGGCAGTTGTAGGCACTGATGAGCTTAAGGTTCTCAGCACCATTATTCATCTGAAAATTGCAAATAACACCACAGTTTCAATCCCCACCTTCCTCATCTCAATTTCACATCACCAGATGCCTACCAGCATGGCTTCAATAACGAAACCTAGCATTGACAAAAGTAACTGGATCCAATGAGAGAGTAATTAAAATGTTCCCTTTACTGTATGCTTGACAGTATTCCTGAAAGTTGAACACATTTGCGCCATTGCTCAGCAATGTAAATACACTGAGTACAATATCTTTTCTACTCCTTCGGTTTTAGTAGATGTCTATAAGTTACTCTGAAAAGTAATCCTTGTTAAATATTTAAGTAATTTTATTATAAAATGTTGGGAAACTAGCACGGTTACACACATGAACTCACAGTAGTTGTGACTGTATGTACAAGGCCTATACAGTTGATCCGATCAAACCAGTCAAAATCTCAGCATGAATTGAGAAAGAGTTCATGAAGTCCTATTCCTAATCGAGAAACTACTGACAATTAATGGCTGTGGGTGGGAGAGAAGAGTCAGTTTTCTTCAGGAATGTGGTCCCTAAAAGATTGCTCATGTTCCAGTGGATGGCCCTACACTGCTACACCAAGCAGTACTAGGTGGACCCAGTGGGCTTAAGGGAAAAAAAGCAATGACCTTGGGAGTAAAAAGTAGGGGGAATGGGGTAGTATGGAGGGTGAAGAAATGGGGTGGAATTGATCAAAATGTTTTATATGCATATATGAAATTCTCAAACAATAATAACGATAAGAAAAGGGCTACCAACCCATACCTTGTTTTTTAGTTTCCCTAAAGCTGTACTGTATAGTGACTATAAAGTCTACAAGCTATGTGAAGATTTTACTGACTCATTTCTGTATTTGACAGAGCTCATAGCCCAATTCTTACAAATACTAGTAATTTAGTAAGTATGAATAGAATGAACAAAAGATCAGGCTTTAAGAAATCTACTAGGTTATATTTACAAAAAAAAATTCTAGTGGGACATGCTGGTACATACCATTAATCTCAGTACTCAGGATTAAAGAAGAGCCAGGCAGAGCTATATGGTCTTGAGGCTAGTCTAGTTTACATAGTGAGTTCCAGATTAGTCAGAGGTACATAGTGAGACCCTGTCTCAATTTTTTTTCTCTAATCCAGGCATGGCAGTGCACACCTTTAGTTCCAGCACTTGGGAGGCAGAGGCAGGTGGATCTCTGTGAATTCGAGGCCAGCCTGAAATATAATAATGAGTTCCACGACAGCCAGAGGTACCAAATAGAGAGACCCTGTCTCAATTTTTTTCCCTCTAGAAAAATCTTAGAAGTATTAACAATAAAGAAAAATATTATACACACACCAATTGGGAAAGCAAAGTCACTCACCGCAAATACAAGGCTATAAAACCAATGAAAAAAAAACAGTCATTTTTCTTATTTTGATTTATTACTATCTTACTTATGATGATAATTATCCAACATGCCATATAATTCAGAAAATAAAATATAAGTTCTTAAATTTTAAGATAAAAACCTACAAAATCTTTAGAATTTCAACCAGGTATGGTGGCACACCCTTTAACCCCAGTAATCAGGAGGCAAAAGCAGGTACAGCTCTGAGTTTAAGGCCAGCCTAGTTTACATAGTGAATTTGGATATATAATAAGAACCTGTCTCAAAAAAAAACTTTTTAGAACTCCATTGTATATGTGTTATAAAAATTGTAAAGAAAAAAACCCAAAGCAGACATATTGTATACAACTTCTCTAAAGAAGATAATTTAAATATGAATCATTTTTCCCTGAGGTAAATATGCTGAAAATTATAAAATGAGTTGAAAAAAATTTGAGCTAGAATAAAAATTCGAGCTAATATCGAAAAATAAGACTAGCATGGAAGATACTAGGCTGAATAAAGTAGTTCTTATTATGTAAATAAATATGATTCAACATGACAAGAAAATAAATATAGGGATGTGGCGGCTAATCTTGGTTATCAATTTGACCACATCTGGATTAACTAAAACCCAAGCTGCAGGGTACATCCATGAGGGATTTTCTCAAATGACTGCCATCATTTGAGGTGAGAAGACTCACCTTCTGACGGTAGCTACATAAAAGGCTATACAGGAAGGAAGATGATGCTTTTTGCCTGCTTGCTTTCACTTTCACTGGCAAATTTGCCTATCCTGTTCCTGAGTCATTCATTCTTTTGCTGATACTAGAACCTACTTTTTCTAGATTCCAACAAAGACTGAAGACTGGCAGCTCTCTAGGACTTCCCTGGGATTCTGACACCAGACTGGGGACTGCTGAGACATCTAGTCTTGTAGACTGAACAACTACCAAACCCTTGGCCTTTCCATTAAAGACAGCCACTGTTGAGAACTACTTGGACCACAGCCTGTATGTAAGCCACTCTAACAAATCCTTTTACACATATTTACACATATACATGCTAGAAGAACCCTGACCAATACAGATTGGAATGTGGTGTCTAGGAAGAGAATGGACCTGACAGGCTCATATGTTTGAATATTTGTTCCCAAAAAGGAGGAACTGTTGAGAAAGGCCTTGTTATAAGAGATGTGTCATTAGAGGCAGGCTTTGATGTTTCAAAAGACTCTAGTCATTTTCAGTGTCGTGATCTCTTTTTGCCTTCTAGTTGTGGATAAAGATGTGAGCTCCCAGTTGTTCCTGATACCATATCTCTGCTTCACTATCATGGTTTCAGACCCTCAAAACAATAAGCTCAAATTAAAACCTTTTATAAGTTGCCTTGGTCATGGTGTTTTATCACAGCAATAGGAAAGTAACTCAGACAAGTGTAAAACATGTTATCTTCCCCAAGTTACAGTAAATACTCTTGTGTTTTCTTAAGCTATCTGAAAAATTATAACTGGGTAGACCCAGGTGTAAAACTATGAAATACAAAAAAAATAAAAACTTTCTTTTGTGGAATATTATTTTAACTGGGCAAAGATGTGTTACATTCGTTTACACTGCAGACTATTATTTTAACTATGTAAAGGTATGCTGTTTGTTTAATTATGAAAAGATGTGGTGCTGTTTCACTTTGCTTGCCTAAGTCACCTGACTGATCTAATGAAAAGCTGAATGGCCAGTAGCTAGACAGGACAGGGATAGGCAGGGCTTCTGGGCAGAGAGTAAATGGGGGAGGAAGAGGGAAGAAGAAAAAGTAGAAGAGAACAAGGGAAGAAAAGGAATATGCCTGGGACCAGCCAGCCAGGTACAAGTAATGAAAGTAAGAATTACAGGAAGGAAGAAAAGGTAAAAAGCTCTGAGGCAAAAGGTAAAAACAGGTGAATTTAAGTTAAAAGAGCTTGCTGGAAAAGAGCCTAAGTTAGGATTGAGCATTCAAAACTAATATGTCTCCTTGTCATGATTTGGTAGCTGGTTGGTGGGCCAAAAGAAAAGCCTGGTACAACTTTCAGCATAACAAATAGTCTTTCTTAGCAGAAATATTACGATGGTTTACCTAAGGATAGCAAAGAAAAATATATTTATATTAAAAGATCAAGATGCAAATTATTGTTTCTTAATTTTCAAACAAATATTTACATACCTAATATTATTTTTAAGAACTTTCGAGCAACTGAAGCATTTAAAAGTTGTGTAAGTCTTTAGGTCTTCCTCAACAGCTCCTTCATGTCTTCCATAGTAAAAATCACTAACTAGCATGATCAATTTTTCTTTATCTGAGCCAATGTTAGCTTTGTTGTCAGTCGTTGAATGTTCTGATTTAACAGTCTCCAGAAAGTCATTTATCATGTCTGGGCAGCAACGCTAAAAGAAGAGAAATAGTGTTTTATTTGTACCTCTTATAAAAATCAGACATCATTCTATATTTACAGTAGGTTCAGATCATCTAAAGCTATGCTTAGCAATATAAATGATATATATGGGAAGTCATCCACCAAAACCACTGGCTTCTTTCCTTATAAATTGCAAAAATTTCAACAACAAATACCACTATTTTAATGAAATATCTTCCAAAATGAATGGAAAACTTTTAAAACTTTAAATTACCTTGTAATTTTTCTTTTCAGAGTAGGACTTATTAATTTGCTTTTTGAACACAAATCATAGATTTCATTCATATTAATGTCAAGATATAACTTGAAAGTCATATATATCATTTATGTATGAAGCTTAATTACCTAATGACATAGTAATATTTTAATAAAGCACAGTTGGAACTAGACTTATGTGGAGAGTTGATATGTTATTCTCCTATCACAAAGCACTACATAATTTATGTCCCACAAAGAAAGAGTTATCAGTTACATCCTCAAAATCTCAATGTATCCTATCTATAATACTTCATTATTTCACGGGGGAAATATACTTTGAATAAAATCAGAATCTCATTTAAACTGATACTAATAATTCTTTTCTCAATGAAAAAAATTTTTCATATATAATTTTCAGTGGTAGAATTTCTCTAGGAGGATTCTCTAAGAAAACTGGAACAGACAGGAGAGACGGCTTAGCAATTAAGAGCATTGGACCTGGGGTTCAATCCTGAGCACCCACATCATCACGACTGTAACTGCAGTCCTGAGCGGGCCAATGTTGCTTCTAGCATCCAAGAGCACCAGGTAAGTAAGCAGTGTACAAACATACATGCAAACAAAGCACCCAAACACATAAAATAAAAAAAAAATCATTAAAATAATAACTGCTGAACAAAATAAAACGGGAAAAAATGTTAGCAAATTCGAATTGTTGAGTATTTAAACATTTTATTTAAAGTGGTAGAAAACAACTGTGGCTGGTCAGTGGTGGCGAAAGCCTTTAATCCCAGCACTCGGGAAACAGAGGCAGGTGGATCTCTATGAGTTTGAGGTCAGCCTGGTCAACAAGAACTAGTTCCAGGTCAGGTTCCAAAGCTAAAGAAAAACCGTGTCTTGGAAAACAAACAAATAAAAAACAACAAATAAATAGTAAAAAAGAAAACTGTGAAAATTCTTATAATTCAGTAGCACAACAGTAACAATCACACTAAAAATATCCTAAACCAACTTAAAAATAATCACAGATGGTAGAAAAGGGGCTTATGTATGAAAGGAGAAAAATTACTTTCATAAAAAAAATGACCATGTAATTAAATCTCAGTAAATGCTATCTATGCTGGAATTTTCATAGGGTTAGAAAGAAAAAGCAACACAGGTAAAAATTAGAAATACATAAATAATAAAGGGCTTTGGAAATACTGAAAATAAAAGGATAAAGTAAGTACATAGCAAGTAGCTGGGCGAGGTAGTGCATGCCTTTAATCCTAGCACTTGGGAAACAGAGGCAAGTAAGTCTCTGAGTTCAAGGCTAGCATGGTCAATGTAACAAGTTCCAGAACAGTCAAGGTTACACAGAGAAATCCTATCTCAAAAATAAAGCAATAAGTAAAGGATTTAGCAAGCAAATGGAAATAGGAAAATAAGAATTATGAGGGCTAGGAAAATGCTTCAGTGGGGAAAGCATTTCTGAACATGGGTGAGAAGCTGATTTTGAATCCCCAGAACCTAGAAATACTATACTACTGCATAGAGATGGGAGGCAGAAATTGGAGAATGTGGCATACACAGCCCCCACCAACAAAGAGACCCTGTCTTAAACAAGGTAGAAAGCAAGGACTAACACTTGAGGTTGTCCTTGAACCTCTACATCTGTACGGTGGGAAGTGCACACTTATATGCAAACACACAAATTTGCAGACATATACATACACATTTACACATAAATGATATAAATAAATTAAAATGGAATTTAGGTCAGAATGCATTAAACAAAGAAAAAAGGATATTTTATTTAAAACGTCAGTGAAGTTACAAAACACACGCAGAGAAAGCTATAGAGAAATACAAAATAGAATTGTCAAATATCAAAGAAAGTACTGATGATGTGAGACTGGTTTCACTATTCTCACATGCTCAGAGACGTAGAGGGACTAACATCCAGGATAAGTTTTGTTCCCAGAATAGATACTGTATTTGAAATATTGGAATTCATTCTCACTCTTGTACTTTTCTCCAAGGTGCGGGATTTAATAAAAATCTCTTGGGAACAGTAAGCAGAATCTTTCCTAAGATGTTTCTTTGCATTCTCCCTATCCTTTTCCATGTCACCTATCTTACTTATCTTAGTGCTTTTCTTGCCTCTTCACTCACTACCATTTACATGGGGCAGGCAAAGAGAAGACGATCTATCTTTAGAAAGATACAACAAAATACCATATAACCTGGTAAAATATTAATAGTAATCCCTCTAAATTTCATACTTTAGTAGCTTCAAATTTATCTAAAACCTAAGTAAGTTCAGGAGTTTGAAATACCAATATAAAGCTATAATTCATTAATAACTCTATATATTCTATTTTGGATTGAGCTAAAGCTATTATTTCATAAGTAATGTTTCATTAGGAAACTGGAAAATTAAGATACAAAACTAAAATTTCCATTGAAAAATAGGAAATGAATATGACAACATGGAAAAAAGTATAAAATAGGAAATTTTAAGTTATATTTTAGATTAATAAAATGCCTGCTTTATGAGAAATATAAAGAATGGCACAATTTAGTCAATAAAATATTACGGTTTGTGAATTTTCATTTAAAATTAAAAAGCAATGCACACATACAATAGAGTATACATGATCACATACTATGATGTATGTATGATGAACTTAAGTTTTATAATTTTATGATTGGGAAGAATTTAAATTTTGCATAATCATGAAAATTCTTATTCATATGAAAATGACAATAAAAGGTTTTTATTTAAATATATAGATAAACAAATACTCTCTACTATTCTTACTATTTCTTGGATTTATAAACATTTTCAAAACTCAAAATTTGACACTATTTTACCTTCATGTGGCATTTCAAAGGATCCAAAAAACTGAACTTAACCTTGCAATTTGGACAAGATCTTAGTGAAGGTGCTCCAGTTTCAGCCTGAATTGATGAGGTATTTTCATCTAAAATAAATTGAGGACTTTTATGAGTAAAAATTGATCTTTTAAAAAGCTTAAAAATCTTTAAAAATCCATCTCACAATTATTAAAATTTGTTTCTAACTAATACATTTTTCTACATGAGATTTCATACTTACTTGATAGTACAACCTGGGAGGAAGCCTCGGAAGGAGACTCATTTAAAGATGATGAAGAGGAAGGATTTGTTTCAGAAACACTTGCATTGGTCTTTGGCTTTTTTGGATTAACACTGTTTAATTTGGAAGTGGAAGGATGTTTTAATCCTAACGAAGTTTGTTCGATACCTACAAAGATTTGAACAGCAGGAAAGATTTATAAATGCTTTAGTATAGAATATTACTTATTTAAATTGCTATAAAAATGTCCTTAGATTTTTAATATAATAAAAACATCTTGGATCTAACTTAAATGGAAAAAAATAATTAAAAGGCAGAAATTATACAAGGAAGCAGCTTCTATGAATCATATATATTTCAGATTCACAAAATAAACTTTATGCAAGAAAACTATAAGGATACTTTCAAATAAAGCTATCCATTAAAGGACGCAGGCTGAGAAAAAAAAAAAAAGAAAAGCATAAATCACACAAAACCCAAAGCAACAATATAACAAAAAATAAAGAGAGAAAAGAGAAAGGTAAATAACTTTTTCTGAGCTACACCCTTACAAATGAACTTATGTTCTGGTGATTAAAGACATTTAAACTTAAAAAATACTCATTCTAAAATCCAGGAGAATTCTTTATAGTTGTTTTAAAAATCTTTAGCTATTCAATCAAAGTTTTCTTTCTTATGTAGAAAATGGAAACAAAAATGCTTTAGTCATTCATATGAAAAAAAAAAACTATAGTCTTCCAACTACTATACCGAGTTAATTAGACATAATGGGCATTCCTGACAGAGCCTTTCCTTTTATGCTTTCTTTGACTTCTGTGATTGGGAGAAAGTTTTGTTTGAACACTATCGTCTTAGCATCCAAAGGATTAGGTAATCCATGGCATCTGTTTGAGAAACAGGCACAGACCCAGAAAAAGTGATTTTATAAAATAATCCAAAATAAATTGTTTTCTGTGACAAAGGCTGTAAAATCACACATAGTTTAATGCTCTCAAGTGTACATTCACAGAAGCAGTAGATATATTCTTGTCAAATTTATGATGTTTCATTCTTTGAGATAATAGAATTCTTTTTCCTATTATTAGAGACTATGGCTACTGAATGATTACTGCCAGCACATGAGACTGATTTTGGTTTTGTTACTTTAATGTTTCTTTAAGATGCCTGTGTCACTTGGATAATCAATAAACTTTGGCATTTTGCACTAGGTAATATACAATATACCATGTAATAAAAATAGACCATTTTGATAAAGTTTTTAAGGATGGATTTTTATTATATCTATGCACATGTATGTTTGTGCATCTCTGTGAATGTACATTACATACATGTCTGCAGTGTCCAGATCTCTCAGAGCTGGTATTTGTGCATCTCAGGGAATATAAACTACTTGCATGTCTGCAGAGCCCATAAGAAGGTGTCAAGACCTCTCAGAACTGGTATTTGTGCATCTTAGGGATTATATGCTACATGCATGTCTACAGAGCTCAGAAGGTGTCAGATCTCCTGGAACTGGAGCTCCAGGTGGTTGTGAGCCGCCTGACATGACATGGACGCAGGGAACTAAGCTCAAGTGCTCTTAACTGCTGTGCCATCTCACCAGCCTTATCTAAATAAAAAAAAATTACTCTTAGATAAAGAGTTTTAAATACTGATCCTTTACATTATTTTTATTGCTTTGATCTTTGCTACTCCCTACTTTCAAGTCTTCCTATTTACACAAATAAAAATGAGCAGGCAGCCCTAATTAAATACAGTGGGTTACACAAGAAAAGTAAAAACAAAAAGTGGAATGGGAAATAGGGAGTTGGTGGAGGTAAGACGAGTATGGTGGTGGTTGGGGGAATGAGTGTGGCCAAAATGCATTATATACATGTATGAAATTGTCAAAGAATAAATTGATGAAAAGAGTCTTTTTAAAATTAATTTTTGAGATGGAGTATCACTTTGTAGTTCTGGCTGTCCTGGACTTTGCTATGTAAACCACACTGGCCTTTAACTCACAGAAATCTTTGTGTCTCTGCTGGGAATAAAGGCAGGCACCACCACCATGCCTGGCTAGAAAACAAAAAAACTTATTCTCATAAAAAATCCTATTTCCCTTCTTCAAATTCAAGCTCAAATCTAATTTTATCTAAGAAACTTTCATGGTCATCCTAGACTTCAAACATTATCACATATTTGTGGTTATTATTGTAAACTTTAATAAACCATTTAAAGTTTATAAAACAGATTTCACTTTTCTTAATTTTGCAAACTCAATAAAATCCTAAAATGAATAACATTATTTACAAATGGCTCATATTAGGTCCAGAGAATGAATGTATTATGTGAGAAACAGAAAATAATATTTTAAAGCCAGGCAGTAGTGGTGCACACCTTTAATCCCAGCATTTGGGAGGCAGAGACAGGCAATCTCTGGGAGTTTGAGGCCAGCAAGTTCAAGGACAGGCTCCAAAGCTATAGAGAAATCCTATCCCAAAACACTAAAAATAAATAAATAAATAAATAAAGACAATACTTTATCAATGTGAGAAAAGTTAGGTGACTTGATAAAGACTTGATATAAAACTTGATAAAGATCTATACAAATCTGTAGGACAGAGGTTTAAACGTTTATCTTTTAATCCAACTTTAACAGTGTTTAATATTCCGGACAAAGCTCTCTTCTCTACAGTTTAAAAACCTTTTGTTGAGACAGGGTCTTATGCAGTCCATGCTGATCTTGAACTTGCTAAGCAGCTAAGACTGGCCCTCGAACTCCTGATCCTCCTGGCTCTACTTCCCATGTGGTGGAATTTCATACGTGTGCCACCACACTTAGTGGAGAACCTTTAAATAGTGAATAGGAGTTACTGTCTTTAACTTCTGGAAGCTTCACAAATTGAGACTTGTTCTAGGAATGAGACCATGTGCTTAGTAAAATCAAATTTAAGACACCTATTTTATTTCCCTATCAATTTTGGTTCTTGGTTATTTTGCTAACCATAGGTTAATCAAATGAAATATTTAGCAAAGTGAGAAAATATTGTGACACCCAAATTACTATAAAACTTTTCCTTTGGTTTGATAAATATAATATACTACTTATTAGTAAATAAAAATTCAAAAGAATTATGTTCCTCTTTAGTGAAATATATCAAATTAGCTAATAGAGAAGCTACTTTATTCCATTATAGGGATTTTTTTTTATCTAGATAACATTCTTCTACTGTCATACTATTTACATTCATGAAGATTTTGCCAAGGCAGAAAAAAAATTTTTTAAATGAATTTTCTTCCAATTGTCCAATTTCTGTTCCTTCAATGAATATGTATTAGGTACTGATCATGTGCTTATTCTATCTCTTTAGTTCTGTCATTTTATAATACCATTCTATTATGTTTAGCTATCTCACATGTCATTTATTATATAGAAAGTTTACCAAAAAATAAACTAAAGCCATGCCAAATAATAAATACATTTTACACAGTATTTAAGTCATCAGGAGACTTCTCTGACTCACAGAAACTATATTAAGATTTCATAGCTCACAGGTAGTTCTAAATGAGAATAAACTCAGCCAGGGATGGTGGTGGAATCTTTAATCCCAGCACTTGAGGCAGAGGCAGGTGGATCTCTGAATTACCAGTCAGCCTGGTCTACAGAGTGAGTTATAGGACAGCCAGGACTATACAGAGAAACCTTGTCTCAACAACAACAACAACAACAACAACAACCAACCAACAATCCAAAAAAACCCAAATCCAAAAACCTCAAGTAGCACACACTAGCTAAACTAACAGAAAGGAGATAGTCCATTAAGTAAGATTACACATCTAAAGCATTCAGGAATGATAGCTCTATTTCCATCTTATATGCAAATAACAACACAAAGGCACTGATTTCAGAAGTATGTGTATATATGTGGGTGTACCTGTGGAGGTTATATGTGGGTGTACCTGTGGAGGTTAGAGGACAACCTGCCAGAGTCAGTTCTCTCATCTTATTGTGTGAGTTCAAAGATCAAACTCAGATCAGCTTGGCAATTGCCTTTGTTGAGCAATCTTGTTAGCTTCTTAAATCTTTATTAATTTGATTATTTAGTGTGCACCTGTGCACGGCATGGAGTCAATTCTCTACGTTCCTATGTAGGTTCCAGGGATCCAACTTAGGTTACAAGTTTAGCAGCAAGCACCTTTACCTGCTGAGCCATCTTCAAGCCCTTGTATAAAAATTCTATATGAACATTAACAAAGTCTCTTTTTGTAGATTTTTAAGAAATACTAAATCAAACCTTCTGTACTCTTTTTCAGTATGCTGTAGGATGGTTTATCCTTGGTTGAGTCTAACTGTAAGACAGAAGAAGAAGCACCTGGATCATCTTGTGATGAAGTCTTTGAAAAACTCTGTAAAACGTTAAAAGTTATTTTGTTTGTTAGCTATTAGAAAAGTAAACTGAATAGTATGCTAGTACTACAAAGATCAGTTAGAAAGCACAAAAGTAATTTACCCTCTGCTAAAATGAGCACATACTGCGTGAAAAGCATATTGGCATTATTAAATATTCTTGTAATTTCTTTGGAAAATTAAAATTCGGTGTAAATAAAATGTTAAAATAAAAAACAGTTATAACACTGTTAAGGTTTCATTTTTGGTATAACTTCTTGGCAATAACATTTTAGCAGTATCTACTAAAGGTTTTCAAAATCCATATTCTTTGACATAATCATTTCACTTCTAAGAATTTGTGTTTAGGAAGTGAAAACGTTAATAGAGCATTTATAAAAGCAAAACACAAAAACCTGTATGTTCAACAAAAGAGGAATAGTTACATAAGTTTGACAGATTAAGCAAGATAAACAATGAATGACAAAGAACTGTATTTTCAATACAATATTCAGTTAAAAATGAGGAATAGGTATCAAATCTGTAAAATATGGTCATGAATGACAGACTATACTATCTACAGAAAATCAAAATATAAAAATATATTTCCTTGTTTCTAATACCTTTCATATACATAACTTTCATAATACAAATACAAAGATTTTGTTTGCTTGTCTTAAGCTTTCAAGCTGAGATAATTAGGTTGGAAGAATTTTCTGTTCTTACTAAATATTACTTTTTTTAATTGAGGAAGAGGAAATGAAACAGTTTCCCAATATAATCTTCTATAGCCCGAGACTGACTATGTAGAACAGACTGGCTTCTTTATCCTCCTGTCTCAGTTTCCTGAGCCATCATAACTGGCTTTGTCACTAAATTTTCTCATCAGTAATTTTCTCATCAGGAAGTTAAAAAGACAAGAGACTGGAGAGATAATGTCTCAGTGGATAAGAGTACTTGCTGCTTCTGCTGGTTGGGGACCTGGGTTCAGTTCTCAGGGCCCATATAAAGACTTACAATTAAATACAACTCTAGCTCACAATTGAATACAACTCTAGTTCTAGGGGTCTGCAATTTTTTTCTGACTTTTGTAGACATAAGAATTATGGAGACAGATACTGAAATTACCTAAAACAGCCAGGCAATGATATATATACTTAAATGTATGATTAGGTATGTGTATAAACCTCTGGGCTAATATGGATTGAAATCCTATGTCTATTGGTTACCAGCTGGCCTTCGGATAATCATTTAGGCTCCCTGAGTTTCAGTCTCCTCAACCATAAATTGGGAATATCCTCCCTCATAGGGATGTCTTAAGAATTATGTAAAAATCACATTTGCACATATTAACAGTTTCCCTCCAAATGTTAAACATCACTGTTATTTCTTACTTCTATTAAAAGTTTTTTGTTATTGCTCTACTTGGGGGTGATTTTGTTTTGTGAGACAGTCAAACTTTGTAGTCCAGCCTGGTCTGGAACTTACTAAGAGGAGGCTGGTCTTTTTTTTTTTTAAAGATTGATGGAGGAGGGTCATCTGTCTATGAATAAAGAAACTGCCTTGGCCCTTTGATAGGACAGAAAATTAGGTAGGCAGAGTAAAGAGAACAGAATGCTGGGAGGAAGAAGGCAGTGAAGCAGTCGCCATAACTCTCCTCTCTCCTCTCTGAGAGAGATGCAGGTTAGAATCTTTCCTGGTAAGCCACCACCTTGTGGTGATACACAGATTACTAAATATGGGTTAAAGCAAGATGTGAGAATTAGCCAATAAGAGGCTGAAACTAATGGGCCACAGTGTTTAAAAGAATATAGTTTCCGTGTGATTATTTCGGGTAAAGCTAGCTGGGCGGGCAATGAAAAGCAGCCCGCCACTCGCTTTACAGAAGATTTATTTATTCATTAGTGTTCTGCAGGCCAGAAGAGGGCACCAGATTTTACTACAGATGGTTGTGAGCCACCATGTGGTTGCTTGGAATTGAACTCAGGACCTCTGGAAAAGCGGGTTGTGCTCTTAGCCACTAAGCCATCTCTCCAGCCCAAGGAGACTGATCTTAAAGTCAAAATCCTCTTGCCCACAGCTTCCCAAGTACTAGGACTACAGGCACATTAACAACCATGCTGGCTAAATGTTTAAGAACTAAATAGTGAAAAAAGGGTTTTGACAATAAAGTCACAATTTGTTGGAATAATCATCTCAATTAAGAACACCTAAGTTGGGGGCTGGAGAGATGGTTCAGCGGTTAAGAGCACGGACTGCTCTTCCAGAGGTCTTGAGTTCAATTCCCAGCAACCACATGGCGGCTCACAGCCATCTGTAATGATATCTGGTGTCCCCTTCTGGCCTGCAGGCATGCATGGAAGGAATGCTGCATACATAATTAATAAATAAATCTTTAAAAAAAAAGAACACCTAACTTTACTCTCTTAAGTTGATTTCCTGTGTGTTTCCTCTTTACTTGATTCTTTCTTTAGCTGTACAGAAGCCTTTTAGTTTTATGAGGTCCCACTTATCAACTCAGAAAGTCCTTTCCTATACCTATATTACATAGGGTACTGCCTTATGCTTTCTTCTGGCAGTTTCATGCTTCAGGTTGCAAATTGAGGTCTTTGATCCACTTTGAGTTAATTTTTTTGTGCAGGGTGGTAGATATAGGTCTAATTTCAATTATCGATATGTGGACACCCAGTTTTCCAGAACCACTGGTTGAAGATGCTGTCTTTTCTTCAGTGTGTTTTGGCCTCTTTGTCAAATACTAGGAGTAGAATATAGGTTACTGGGGCTGGAAAGGGCAAAGGGGAATAGTCAAGACTTTAGTACAAAAAACTCTAGGTAAGGTAGTCATTGGATTTGTAGTGTTGACTTTAATATACTGGGAAAATCTGTATATAAAGATCTCAAAATATGCTATATAATTTTGTCAGCATAATAGTGTTCTTTAACACAATGAAATGATTTTGGTTTTAAAATAAAGCTAAGTGTGGTGGCTCATGGTTTTTAATTTCAGTATGCAGCAGGTAGAGGCCAGTGGCTAACTTTGTTTTGAGGTCAGTCTGGTCTATATACTGATTTCCCAGAGATTCAGAGCCACATAGTGAGATCCTGTCTGGAAAAACACAAACAAAAAAGAAAGCCTAAAGATAATGACATTTTCTTTAGTTAGCTATGACCATTCTCCATTCTAGCTGGATATATACTATCCAATGTGTTCCTGAATTAACTGTGAAGTTAAAAATTACTTACAGGTTTAAACACAGTCTGAACATCAGAATTCTCTGAAGATTTGGATTTAGGATGAAATCTAGGCAAAGCAGCCACTGGATTAGGCAATGGATTTTTGTAGTGTCGATTTGCAGGTCTGAATATATTAGAAATAGCTAAACATAAAAAACAAACAAAAAACAATGTAATGAACATATTGGTATACAATTCTGTCAAACAGGTGAGTTTAAAATTAAACTTGTAAGGGCTTAGCCATTAAGCATACCCACTGCTCTTGCAGTGGACCATGTTCAGTTCCTAGCATCTACATCAGGTATTTAACACTACATATCAATTCCAGTTCTAGGGGATTTAATGCCCTCTTCTACCTTTCATGGGCACCTGTACATACATAGTGCACAAAAACCCACACAGGCACAAATACATACACATAAATAAAAAATTAAACAAATTTTTGGCATTAAGAGAGTGTAGTAATACTGTACCTGGATTGAGTGAGTAATTCTTTAGTCCCTTTGAAGATGAACCAGGGCTACATCTATTCAAAATATCTACAAGAATATTTAAAAACTCATTACTGAGATAAACTACATAAAGATTATGGAAAACTGTCTAAAATAGACATATACAACCAACGATAGAAACATTTTTATTCCCTTTAATTGTTACAAGATTTTGACTCAAATTCTTGCTAGTCAAAAATCAAGTCCATGCACATTACTCATGCCACATTTCATATCCCTAGATACCTGGAAGTTTCATTATGGACCAGCTGACTGGTTTGCTTATCTCATGATTCTCAATATCATCACTTGAGCTCAAAAAGGAAAATTATCAGATAACACATTAAGTTATTAACTAGATTTTAGTATTTGATTAGTTTCAGAGGCTAAATACACTAGAAGTCAATTTGGGTCTGACAGGATACTCTAGACCAATTCAGACTGCTATCTCTTGTCCCCATATGAAGTTAATTTTATGGTTACTGAGGAATCATATTTAAATTCAAAATTTTGTCTTTTTATTTTATTTTTTGGTTTTGTGAGACAGGATTTTTCTGTGTAACAGCCCTAGCTGTCCTGGAACTAAGTCTGTAGATCAGGCTGGTCTCGATCTCACCAGAGATGTACTTGCCTCTGCCTCTGGAGTGTGGGATTAAAGGTGTGTGCCATCACCACCCAGCTTAAATTCAGAATTTTAAAATGATTAAAATTTCTTAAAGAAAATGATATCTAGGTTATGGTTCCTACTGCTGTTGAAAAAACACCACGGCAAAAAGCAACTTAGAGAAAGAAGGATTTATTTCATTTTACAACTTGTACTTTATCGTTGAGGAAAGTCAGGGTAGGAACTCAAACAGGGCAGGAACCTGGAGGCAATAACTGACACAGAGGCTTTGGAGAAATGCTGTTTTCTGGCTTTCTCCTCAAGGTTTGCTCAGTCTGCTGTTTTCTTATACCACCCAGGGGTGACACCATCACCTATGGGATGGGCCCCCCCAACATAAATATCAGTCAAGAAAATGCACCGCACAGGCTTGTCCATAGGCCAATTTGATGTGCGCATTTTCTCAATTGTGGTTCCCTCTTCACTACCCTACCTGACCAATAGACAGGACACCCAGACAAAAACTACACATAGAAATGCTGGAGTTAACTGACTTTATAAGCCAAATGGACCTAACAGATATTTACAAAACATTTTACCCACACACAAAAGAATACTAATTGTTCTCAGCACTTCATGGAACTTTCTCCAAAACAGGCCACATATTCTGACATAATGAAAGTGGTTCTAAGGACAATTTCATAGCACTAAGTCCCTACATTAAAAAAAAAAGAGAGTTTGTACTAGTCACTTACCAGTACACTAGAAAGCTCCGTAACAAAAAGAGAAAAATTACACTCAAAAGGAATAGATGGCAAGAAATAATCAAATGAGGGCTGAAATCAATAAAATAGAACCAAAAAATACACAGAATCAATTAAATAGTTCTTAGAGAAAAATCTGTAAGATTGGCAAACCTTTATTCAAAGTAACTAAAATGTGGAAAGAATATCTCAATTAACCAAATTAGAAATAAAAAGGGGGATATAACAACAGGTATCGAAGTAATCCAAAGAATCATAAGCATATACTTTAAAAACCTACATTTCACAATATTGGAAAATCTAAAATAAATGGATAATTTTCTTAATAGATACTACTTTAAAAAGTTAAACCAAAGTCAGATAAATAATCTAAATAGACCTATAACCCCTAGTAAAATAGAAGCAGTAATTAAAAGTCTCCCAACTTCCTGTATCCTCCTCAAAAGACAAGGACCCAGATAGTTTTAGAGCAGAATTCTACAAGACTTTCAAAAAAGAGTTAACACCAATACTCCTCAAATTGGTCCATGAAATAGAAAAAAAAAGGAACTATTCTTTTTAGGTCAGTTAACCTGATACCCAAAAACATAAAAACTCACCAAAGAAAATTATAGACCAATTTCCCTTATAAATATAAATGTGAAAATTCTCAGTAAAATACTTGCAAACCAAATCCAAGAACACATGAAAAAGATCATCCACCATAATCAAGTATGCTTCATCCCAGAGATGCAGGGATGGTTCAACACATGCAAATCGATAAATGTAATCCACCAAATAAACAAACTGAAAGACAAAAACCACATGATCATCTTATTAGATGCTGAAAAAGCCTTTGGCAAATTCCAACACCCTTCATGATAAAAGTACTGTAGAGATTATGGACAGAAGAGGCATACCTAAATATAATAAAGGCAATTTACAGCAAGTTCATAGCTAACATCAACTTAAACAGAGAGAAACATAGAGCGATTCCACTAAATCAAGAGCAAGACAAGGCTGTCCATTTTCTCCATACCTATTCAATCAATACAGTACTTATTAGCTAGAATAAGCTAACTAAAGGAGATCAAGGGGATATAAATCAGAAAGAAAAAAGTCAAAGTATCTTTATTTGCAAATGATATAATAGCATACATAAGTGACCATACAATTTCACTGGTAAAATCTTATAGTTGATAAACACCTTCACCAAAGTAGCTGGATACAAGATTAACTCAAAAAAAAAATCAGTAGCCCCCCAATATATAAATAACAAATGGTCTGAGAAAGAAATTAGGGAAACAATACCTTTCACAATAACCTCAAATAATATAAAATATCTTGGAGTAACTCTAGCCAAACAAATCAAAGACTTGTATGGTAAAAAATGTTAAAGCACTGAAGAAACTGAAGAAGGCAAGATCTCCATGCTCATCGATCAGCAGGATTAACACAGGAAAAATGGCCATGCTACCAAAAGCAATGTACAGATTCAATGAAATCTCCATCAAAATTCGAACATGATTCTTCACAGATCTTAAGAGGATAATTCTTAGCTTCATATGGAAACACTAAAAGTTCAGATTGCTAAAACAATCCCATACAATAAAAGAACTTCTGGTGATATCATTCTGATTTCAAGTTGTACTACAGAGGTATAGTCATAAAAGCAGCACAGTATTGGCACTAAAACAGACATGTTGACCAATGGAATTGAAGACCCAATATAAATCCACACACCTATGGACATCTGATTTTTTATAAAGAAGCCAGAAATACACATTGGAAAAAAGGAAGCAACTTCAACAAACAGCACTGGTCAAATTGGATGCTTGTATATATATATATAAAAGATTCCAAATATATCTATACTCATTACCCTGCACAAAACTCAACTCCAGGTGGATCAAAAACCTCAAAATAAATCCAGACACACTGAACCTTATAGAAGAGAAAATGGAGAATTGCCTTAAACTCATTGGCACAGAAAAGACTTCCTGAAGAGAATACTGTTAAGCACAGACACTAAGATCAACAAATAGTTAAATGGGACCTCATAAACCAGAGAAGCTACAATTCATAGACTCACAGAGGTTAGGTATATCATAAGTGACTGGGGGTGGGGGCACAGACTAATAAGGAATGAAAAATAAAATAAATAATTATGGATGCATAGGGGGACTGGAATGGGAGGATCAAGTAGGGATGAGCAGGGAAGTGGGAGATGAGGGAGGAAATATGGGGAAATAGCTAAAATCAAGGGCCATTTGAGGAGTTGTAGGGAAGCCTAACACAGTAGAAGCTTCCCAAAATATATACATATAATGAAGAGGATCTAAATAAAATCATTAAATAATGGGTGAGACAGAGTCCCAACTGGGTATCTCTTGTCACCAAATGAAGTTTCCAGTAGTGGAGCTGGGTTAAATCTAATTGAGTTTTTGGCCAAAGGGGTCCCTTGGGAACCCCCAAACAACCCAGGCTGTTGCCAAGACAACAGGTTGCTCTTCACAAACTGACAGCAAGGACCCATTGCTGAAGACAACATCTACACAATTAGAATTGATGAACTGGTGCCTACATAGAGCTTTCATCCCTACATTCCAATGTCTTTGGTACAGGAACATATTCTACATGCTCTCAAAAGTGAAACATAAACACCAATCCAGCCACAAACCCTCTATTTACAATGGGGTACTGCCTGCAAGATATGCTAGGGTAGTGGTGGCACAAAGCACGTGGCAGTAACCAAACAATTCCTGATTTGATTCAAGATGGAACCCATATCTGACACTGCTTGGGTGACAAAGAACCTGAAAGTAGATAGCCCAGGGACCTATGGTAAAAGCAAACACTACTTTCTAAAACAAATAAAACAAACATACAAGAAAGAACAGGAATAAAATGACTCTTAATAAAATTTTGCTATACTCATAGATCGGTGCCTTGTTCAGCCATCATTAGAGAAGCTTTCTTCGTTGCAACAGGTAGAAACAAATACAGAGACTCACAGCCAGAGATCATGCAGAGAATGAAAGACCTTGGGAACACTTAACCCTAAACAGGATGTCTCCATCAAGTCACTCCCCTCAGGACTCAGGGAACCCCTGGGAAAAGGAGGCAGAAAGAGTGTAAGAGCCAGTGGGAACAGGACAGAGGACACCAAGGGAACAAGGTCCTCTCAATCAATGAGAACGATGCACAAGACCTGCACATATCTACACCAGATGGAGTTCTAGAGCTTTAAGGAGAAGTGGACACATGTTCCCACCCCTAATCCAGAAGCATTCTCCATTTGATAACCACTTGCAAATAAAAATTTAGTTTTCTCCAAAGGGTTCTCACTGGGGAAACTAACTACTCTTAAGGATAGGCTGCAATCCCTGAAAATGAACTCAACACATATTTGGAGGTTCCGTATTTCATAATGTTGTGTCAGGGCTCTAGCTTTTTAAAAATTTGTCTTTTTTTATTTTACTTTATATGTATGTATATATTTTTCCTCCTCTCTTTTTAATCCTACAGGTCCTTTGCATATATATTACAGCTTCCAGTTTAGTGTTTTTGTGGGATGCTGAAGTATGTGAATGAGTGGGTCTCTACATCTGTATCTGTTTCTTGTGCCTTTTGGGGGATCTCTTTCTTCTGTTTGTTTATGTTGTCCTATTATGATGTGTTAGGGTTTTTAAAAATCTTACTTTTAGGGGCTGGAGAGATGACTCAGTGGTTAAGAGCACTGGCTGCTCTTCCAGAGGTCCTGAGTTCAATTCCCAGCCACCACATGGTGGCTCACAACCATCTGTAATGAGATCTGGTGCTCTCCTCTGGTGTGCGGGCATACATGGAGGCAAAATGTTGTATACATAATAAAAATAAATCTTTAAAAAAATAAAAAAAATAAAAATCTTACTTTTATTATTATCCTTTAGAAGCTTATTTGTTTTCTAATGAAAGAAAGGGGTGGGTCTGGATGGAAGGGGAGGTGGGAAAGATCTGGGAGTAGAGGGAGGGAAAACATAATAAAGATAAATATTATTTAAGAAAAATATCCATTTTCAATAAAAGAAGTCCCCCATACAAACAAACTAGAGCTGGTGAGATGGCTCAGTATTAAAGGTGCTTGATGACCTAAGTTTGATGCCCAGGACCCATATGGTAGGGAAAAGAGAAACCCATTTATGCAGGTTGTCCCATTACCTCCACTCATATGCCATGGGTATGCCTGTCTCTGTCTCTGTCTCTCTCTCTCTCTCTCTCTCACACACACACACACACACACACACACACACACACACACACACACACAC